GGGAAAGGGAAAATCTTCAGTGTTTCAGAAGTTAAAAAAAACAGTTCACATATATAGAAATGGGAGCCAAAACGATAGATGTTTTTAAAATAAAATTATTTCCAACCTATTCTAAATATTTCATATAAGTCGAATGGTACAGTATTTGTTCTTTTGTGACCAGCTTATTTCACTCAGCATGATGTCTTCAAGGCTTATGTACCAGCACTTCATTTCTTCTTATGGCAGAGTAAGATTCCATCGTATGGACAGACCACATTTTGTCTATCCATTCATCTGTTGATGGACGCGCCGGTGGTTTCCACCTTTTGGCTACTGTGAATAATGCCACAACGAACACTGGCATACAAGTGCGTGAGTCCCTGTTTTCAATTCTTTGGGGTATATACCTAAGGGTGAAATCCTATGGTAATTCTATGGTTAGCTTTTTGAGGAACCTCTTGATGATGTTTTTTCACCATAGTTGTAAAGAGACCATTCAGTGAGCAGCACTGTGTTCCCTGTAATCCCTTGCAGAAATTGTTATCGGCAAGAACTTCATAACATTAATTTCTTCTTTACTAAATATTATTTTAAACGTCATTAGAAGGGATTAGAATTTCGAGTAATCTCTACACTCCAGGTGGGGCTCAAACTCACAACCCTGAGCTCAAGAGTCCGCATGCTCTACTGACTAAGCCAGTCAGGTGCCCCTATCTCGAAGGGATTCGAATTTGAGGTAAGAATTCACTTTAGAAAATTATCTGTAAAACTCAATCTAGCTTTTAAAAAAATGTTTATTTATTTTTGAGAGAGAGAGAGAGAGAGAGTGAGTGAGCAGGGGAGGGGCAGAGAGAGGAGGACAGAGGATCTGAAGTGGGCTCTGTGCTGACAGCAGAGAACCCGATGTGGGGCTCGAACCCACGAGCCATGAGATCATGACCTGAGCCGAAGTCAGACACTTAACCGACTGAGCCACCCAGGTGCCCTTAATCTAGCTTTTAATGTCTTTAATGATGTGTACAGCCAAAACAAATAAGCCCTCTAAACTTTAATATGATAATCCAGTATTTCTAAGACATTTTTAGCTCTCTGGGAATGGGCTTCTATCCCTTGCCTTCCAAAAATATGTCAACTTGAATGTCATACAAACATGTTTTAAACATGTATGTGACTATGTGCAAAGACTGAATATATAAAATATTACAACTACCAAAAAAAGCTCAGAAAAACTAATGAAAAAACATCATAAGTTTACCCTAAATATAAACAGCTTGATTATGAATGCATTTTTCTTCCTTTTACACACTCTTCTGTGTACTTTTTTTTTCAAGTAATCTCTACGCCCAACGTGGGGCTCAAATTCAGGACTCCGAGATCAAGAGTCACACGCTCTACCGACTGAGCTGTCCAGGCGCCCCTTTTCTATGTACTTGTTACTGTCAGAGATAAAAAGGCTTTTCTTTTTAAAAAGAACAGTAGTAAAATGATTCAAATTATATGTAATTATGTTAAACATTTTAAGTCAAGAATTGTTATTAAAAAGTCAACCCAACATATACTTAAGGAAGCTTACCCACGTGTCTTGATGTGGGAAGAGGAACGGCAAGGAGTAAGACCGTCCGGACTAAGATGAAGGAGGCAGCCCTTGGAGGTAAAACTTGCATTAAGTGGATTTTGGTAAGAGATATGCCATGGAGAGGATGAAATATCCTTACCACTTTTTTTGTTTTAAAGAATGATTTTATTTGATAAAAATGATACAATGTTCACTGTATTCAGTCCATACAGAAAACACAGAGTCACTCAGTCTAATACCACCACTCAAAAAAAACCACCAGTGTTAACAGACAGCGGGCATGTTTCCAGACCTCTTGATTCATAGGCACAGACAGGATTGATGGTGGGAATCGCTATACTTTTTATTTTAAAAGGTTTTAATTTTGTTTGAATGCTATGGAACTTAAAAATGAAAGGGGCTGCTGAACTTGAGATAAATGTCTCTTCACCATAAGGGCTACTGGTCCCTAAAAGAACTACGGAAGCCAGTGATTCTCAAACTTGAGTGCAAAGCAGAATCCTCTGGAGGGCACGCAGACTGCTGGGCCCCAGCCCCAGTCTGAGCCAGCAGGTCTGGGGTGGGACCAAGACTCTTGATTTCTAACAGTTTTGCAGGGGTTGCCGATGCCACTGATTGGGGACCACACTTTGAGAACCAGTGCATTTAAGGTCAAGAAAAAGACTGAAAAAATTAAGGTCGCTCACTAGGTATTTTCTATATTATAGAATACAATCTTAGACATTATAACTTGACATGACACCTGGATGTGCAAGATGGGGCAGTTAGTTCTTAATCTTCACCCTACTCCCCCCCCCCCATGTCCTAATTGATCAGTGTATGCTAATTGTTCTTTGTCAAGGTTTTGAACATTCACATTCTCTTCTACAACTATAACCCCTCAGTTTTAATAAATCTCAGTTCTGTATTTTGATGGACTCAGTGCTCATACCATTCGTTTTGTTGGAATTCTGTTGGGGAACCTGGTATGCCCTCTCTTCTGGATACCCATTAAGTGTCCAGAATCAGGGCTCGCCGGACCCAAAGGTAGATCTTATCCTGTAGGCTTTGGCTTCCCCAGGCTGCTCTGCGAACCCACAGGTGCGTTGTCCCGGTGAATCTTTCCCCTTTGGCTGAGGTCCTGGGACAGCTGCAATGACTTCATCTTCCCAAGGGTTTTCCTTGACTTGACTCCGCATGGCCTGGTCATCTCATCAGTCCCTTTGTCCACACTGGGGCCCCTTGTCACGAAGATGTCGCCAACTTTGTTTCTTTACTCTGTGCTACTTAGGGGGCAGGGCGGGGTTGAAGTCACACCATACCTTGTTGCAAAAGCATCTTCTCCCCTCTCCCTTGATTGGTTGCTGCTGGTTAATCTGTGGCCAAGGTTTACTGAGTTTGCTAGGTAATGGAGGTGAGTTTCTGATTCAGCTTTACTTTTCCCACTTCTGCCTAGAAGTATCTCCATCCTTTTTAAAAAAAAAACTTCACAAATAAGTCAGTCAGAGAAGGACAGATGTCATGTTTTCACTCATATGTGGATCTTGAGGAACTTAACAGAAGACCAGGGGAGAAGGGAAGGAGGGAAGAAAAGTTACAGAGAGGGAGGGAAGCAGACCACAAGAGACTCTTAAATACAGAGAACAAACTGAAGGTGGATGGGGGAGTGGGGGAGAGGGGAAAGTGGGTGATGGGCAGGGAGGAGGGCACTTGTTGGGATGAACACTGGGTGTTGTATGTAAGCCAATTTGACAATAAATTATATTCATAAAAAAAGAAAAAAAATACCCTTAGAAGAGAATGAATAAAAAATAAACTTCACCAATGTAGGATTTGTTGGGTAAAATGTGGCCCATATTATGCATCTACATAAATTATTACAATGTAAATATAATAGTTTTTTCCAAGAGAGAAAAAAAGAAAATGTGGCCTCCTAAATACGTATAGCAGTTTTGTCTGTGATTAGATTATGGGTATATTTTTTAATTGAAATTTATATTGAGATAAATGTAGATCTACATGGACCTATAAGAAATAATACAGAGAGATCCCATATACACTTTACCCAGTTTTCCCCAACCCATAAAATTTTAAAACCAGCAAAACCACTAACAGAACAGTGCCTTTTGAGTTTTGTGAAATCAGTAAGAAAGAAAATGTTACCAGGTGATACTGAACCAGGAATGCCAACTTTTTGTCTCAACTTCTGTAAATATATCTGCAGTAAAGCACTTAACACTCTATACTGAATTCTTTGTTTTTGTGAATCTCTTCTCCAACAGCTGATGAGTTTCCTTAGAGGAGGAACTCTGTCATATTATTATCTTTGTCTCCCCAGTGCCGAGAAGAGCATACCTACCATACAGGGGGGGAAGGGGAGAGGGCAATGGTATGTGACTTACCAAAACAACTTCTCTTTTATAGTCTTATGCATTGGAGAATTCAAATTCTTCTCAGTCAATAAAAAATGCTATGGATAAGATAAACTTTTGTTCAACCTCCACATGCAAGTTAGATGTTTAGTTCCTAAAAAACATATTCTACTTGTTACTCATTCATTAAACTAATATTTAATGAGTTCTTACTGTGTGCCAAGTAGGATGTTGGGAACTGGGGATACTATGGTGAACGAGACAGACACAGTTCCTGTCCTTATTATTATACTCGAAATTATACAGCAAGCCTTTCTTTTTAGGCTTTAAATCTTATGCACTCAATATTTTCCGAATACACCCACATTACAAATAGGTGTTTTGCAAATAACATGCTTTGCATATTGAGATGATAACAAAAGTATATCCAAACATGCCTAAAGAGGAAATCAGTTGTGGAATGATCAATGTCAAGTCAACTGCCTTAGCCTTATGTGCCACAATAAATGTAGCCAGAGAATTAATGCTGCTTACTGAGCTACATTTCCATGTTTAATGTCCAGTTTCCATATCAGACTGTTTGGACCATAAAGGCAGGCTCCACGTGTCTTGTTCTCTTGTTCATTGCTATAATTTTAGCATGGGACCTGTGCAATAAACATGTGTTGATCAAATAGTTAACCTAACACAATATAAAGCTGTCATACTACTGTGCACATGTATTTCTTTCTTACCATAAGTGGAATGTTCAGTATGTTTGGAAAACCTGACTTACAGAGACAGTACACAGCATTAAGACAGGACATCGACCTAAATTTATTACCCAATTTTAATGCAAGTACTCTCGCCCCCACTTACTGCTGACCCACTAAGGAAATGGCTGCCCTATCTTACAAAGATATGTAAAAAAAAAAATTAAATGTTTGTAGCAAGATTTTTCACATCCAGTCATGAGAAATCAAGTTCTTACCAGATTTTGATTTTAAAAGTTCTGCCTTTGTAAGTGCCGAACTATTTTAAATATCAACAGGTCCTACTCAGGGCTGTAATTCTCATATGAAATTAAAATAATGTTCTCACAAACTGGCAAGTAACTTCTTCGAGCAGGAGGAGCAACAGTTTTTTATTTTATTACAAATAAGCAGTTCACAGAAATTTAACGGGGAATGTGTATGTACTATTAAGCAGAACACAGAAAACATAAAGAAATAAGGTACCGGGACTTAAAATATTGTTTAAAATCCCATCAATTTTACCTTATGATAGTACGTACTCAATACAACTGAACTGAAAATAAACACTTTATGTGTTTGCAAAATGTATAATGCTGTAGTAGTAAAGTACAATTTCCAAATATGAAATTTTGTCTGTCAGATTTTTAAAAAGCCTTTAAAAACAGGATATGCACAAGCTTGCCCTGAGGGGAAAATAAGATGGAACAGAGATTACAAAATCTTTACATATTTTCCACAATAGCATTTTGAAATTGGAAAGAGCAAATAGTTGTGGAAAAAACTGAATGAACCAATTACTAAAAATTCAGTGCACTCATAACTACCTGATGGAAATTTTGAAGCACCTTTTCTCTTGCCTTCTTATATCATAATATGAAATGTATAAATCATATAGGCCTTGATCTTCAGAAACTTAAGAAAACTTCAAGTTATAAGCCAAACTATCATCAGAAAAAAGAAAAACTGGTATAAAATTTGCTACCATAAGGCCACTGTTTAAAGTTCTTTCATGTACAGACACTATACAATTCAGATACTTTTTTTTTGTTTTTATTACATAAGCAAAACTTTCAACATATAAACATCTGGATGTAACTCAGTTAAGTTCTCTATGAAACCATGCTCAGAGAAAAACACATCAACAAATAATGCCCCTGTAAGACTTTTTGCAAAAGAAACTGTAGTTAATACAACTTTTACATTGAATACTGTAATTTAAAAGCAATTGTTAAGTGTAAAAAAGTTGCAGCATTCTGCTACAGAAAAATAAAGTTATGTTATCAAGGAAATTACAGTATTAGTGCTTGAGTGCCAATTCTAACTTCTGATAAAAAGAGATGCTCCCGAATACCATCCTGTAGTGTCGTTTCCGTTTGTAACAATTCCAGATTAGACTGGGGTGGCAATGTTTGTATACCCCTATTGAGAGAAAACAAAAGAAATACAAACTTCAAAAGAAGAGTCAACTATAACATCTGAGCTAGTTTTTTTCACATTACAATTTCCAAGATGTTTTAATTTTTATACCACTTATAGCTTAGACCCCCACAAAGGTATGTGGAACCCCAAAGACGCAAAGTAACAACAGAACACAGCAAAGCAGATACCAAATGATAGGTCAGTAGGACAAAGGAAATATATGACACTCAATATGCTGGTATTAGTAAGTTGATGAAAAGGCATTCTGCTATTTGGGCGAGTTTCCCTGGGGATTGTTAAAAAAAAAAAAAAAAAAAAGTCAAGACTCAAAACTCTGCCCCTCAGGCACAGAGCCTGATGTGACATATACCCAGTCTCAAACTGGTATTTTATCTTTGTCAATATATGGTATATTTAATTCTAAAACAACACGGACTCTTCTGGCTTGGCTGATAGCAGAGAAAGCTATTGCTGGGGGCGGGGAAGCTTTCTTGCTTTTGGATGGTCATCTACAACATAAAAAGATGTAAGGCTTCCATAAACACAGGAAAAGGAATTCATAACAACAAGACTGTGATTAAAGAGAGTAATGGACATGGCTTCTATACTGTGATGCTATGCAAAATATGAAATTACCAACCACAAACTGGACGGAAGACCATGCAACTAATAAAAGTGCAAAAATGGTAAATGGCATGTTTTCCTGGGACATTTAAAATATTTATTAATACATATATCCTTACCTTTTACTAGGATCTTATATTATTAAAACTGAAAGAAATTTAAAAGTTGATTTATTTTTTGGCATTTACATTAGTATGGCAACATTTAATTCCAAACAAAAACAGTGCTGATAGAAAATTCTTACTCTTCTTTCTGTTTTGGTTAATTGGTGAAATGTTCAAAATACATGCATAGTTTTATTTTTGTCAACATCACTCCTTTAAATAGAGGTAGAATTCATCGTGTCCCATTTCTTAATTTTCTATAATACAAAAGTCATATACATTGATCTTCAAATAAAATATCTGTTGCCTACTAACAACTTTAAAAGGAAACTCTGACTATAATAATTCTTAAAATTTTTTTCAGCTGAAATATCTTGTTTATAAAAATGTACAATTATTCTGAATCACATTCATCCTTGATGTAGCTTCTTCTACACCCACACCATCTCTCAGCTTGATCCCTCCATTCTTCCAATTATGTGAACAGCTATTTTAAGCAGAATGCTGAACTAGAGATATGAGCACCATGCTCATCTAAGTTTTCCTAGGTCGACACTTGCTATCCCTGCAAATGCTCCCTTATTGGTCTCCCTCCATGTCATCTCGTCCCCAGAACCCTGCATACCCACTGCTCACCAAGCCATCATCCTCAACATCACTTTCTCCTCAGGCTAGCAAGATGTCCTACTATTACTACATCACATCCTCAATATTCTATCCAGCTTTCAAGGCCCTCTATAATTTGCACACTCCCATGTGTATCCAACTGTCTACACTCTACCATCATACATGGATCTTTGGCTGTAGCCCCTTCTATGCCCTGCTCTTGTCTATGACTCAGCTGACCTCCTCTGTAAGAGGAGAGAGTAAAAATCAAAGTGCTTAGCATACTTTCCCTGGCCATTCCTACATACTGATTTTTTCCTCCTCTCTTTAGGCATTTACCATCTGTGAAATTAAGCTCTTCAAAAATATGGTTGTGCGGAAGAGTTAATACAGCATATCTGACTGCTATCCTTCGAAAGGCTACTTACAAGGTTGGCTGTCAGCCAGGAACTTAGATTTTGGTAGGGTTCTCACCACTGATGAGTGTCTAAACTGTGCAAACAATATGGTCTATGCTGAACATCTGCTTTCCTTCTGAGAGTCTGGAATTCGGTATGTAACTGGCCGAGGTGCCTATGTGACCAGCCCTCAATGAAAACCCTGGGCACTGAGTCTCTAATGAGCTTTCCTGGTCGGCAACATTTCACATGTGTTACCACAGCTTGTTGCTGGGGGAATTTTTTTTTTAACGTTTATTTATTTTTGAGACAGAGAGAGACAGAGCATGAATGGGGGAGGGTCAGAGAGACGGAGACACAGAATCTGAAACAGGCTCCAGGCTCTGAGCTGTCAGCACAGAGCCTGACGCGGGGCTCGAACTCATGGACCGCGAGATCATGACATGAGCCGAAGTCGGCCGCCCCACCGACTGAGCCACCCAGGCGCCCCAAGTTGGGGGGGGGGGGGCGGGAATTAAGCACGTCCCATGTGACTCCACTGGGAGAGGACTCTTGGAAACTTGCACCTGATGTCTTCTGGACTTTGCCTGTGTGCCAGTTCCTTCTGCTGATGTGCTGTGCAGCCTTCCATTATAACACATCACAGCTGTGAGTGCCACCATATGCTGAGTCCTAGCAATCACAAAACCTGGGGCTGGTCTTGGGGACCCCTGACACAATGGCTACTACCATTCAGTAACTTTTTCTTTCTTTTAAGTTTATTTGAGAGAGAGCGTGTGTGCGCCAGAAGGGAAGGGGCAGAGAGACAGAGACAGAGACAGAGAGAGAGAGAGAGAGAGAGAGAAAGAGAGAGAAAATCCTAAGCAGGCTCCACATCATCACTGCAGAGCCCGACGTGGGACCCGAACCCAACTGTGAGATCATGACCTGAGTGGAAGTCAAGAGTCAGAAGCTCTGACTGATCCACCCAGGCACCGCTCATTCAATAACTTTTTAGAGCTATAGATGGATGCATGTGAGTGCGTGTATGTATATACGATTAGATTTGATTCTATTCCACAGGTGTTTTCTAAAGACAGACTAAATGAAAGGCAAAAGGGGAAGATACAAAGACCAATGAGGTACCCTCTGTCCTCAAGGAGCTGACCATCTACTTGGGGAAACAAGAAGGCAAACGGCAACAAGTGAGAGACGAAATGAAACAAGAGCTAGAGAGGTGGCTTTGGTAAGGCTTTACAGTGGGTCTTAAAAGGAAAGCAGGGTTTAATAAGAAAACGGTGGGGATCAGAAGGCTATTTCCAGGCAAGAGAACAGCAGGAGCAAAGATACAAATACATGAAAACATATTTTACGTTCCAAAAAGCAGAGGTTCCATGAAGAAATGTGGTTACAAAGGTAGCTTGTTAGGACTGAAGCCGGTGAACAAGTCTGGTCTCTTCTCTTGTAGGCAACAGAATCGTTGCAGAGTTTGCATAAGAGTGACATGATTCAGGCTGTGTCTTGGGAGAATAACTGTGCTAGTAGTGAAGGCACAGAATAAGCAAATTACAGCAGGCAAGGAAACAAGCTAGAGACTCCAAACATTCCAACGACAGATCAGGAATACATAAGAATGTAGCATATGTTAAAGGTGGCATTTTCAATCAGTGGGAAAAGGACAAATTATTTAATAAGTGGTATCAAAAAACTGACTATCCATTGGAAAAAAACAGATTCTAACCTCACACTGTATCATAAAAATAAATTCTAGAGGGAATAAATATTTATATGTTTTAAAAATTAACCAAAAAACCCCTTAAAGGAAACACCGTAAGGAATTTTTATAAGCATAAGTATGATATGAAATCTAGAAACCATATAAGCACAAACTCAAACAGACTCATGAACATTTACGAATTTTGTAATGTAAAAGCTACCACAAATAGCTGGCAAACGTAAAATAAATACCAGTAAAATGTATGACAGGTTAATATCCTCAGTAAATTAAGAGTTCTTACAAATCAATAAGAAAAAGTACCATTCCTCAACAGAAACACTGGCAAAGCATAGAAATAAGGAAGCTGAGGGAAGGCATTAATTGGTCAACAGACACCTAAAATATGCTCACATAATTAATAACCAAAGAAAGCCAAATGAGAACTATTTTCTGCTATTAGACTGACAATGGATAATAAAGACTGATAATGTGGAGCACCTGCTAGGGTGTAGTTAAATGGGCCCTTTCATGTACTTCTGGTCAGAGCATAAATGAGTAAAAAAGGTGGACTATGGCAAGGTACCAAAACGTCAATTTGCCCAGTAGCGTTACCAAAAATAAGAAAACCTGTAAGCTATACCAAAGTCATCAACAGAGGCTTGGTTAAGTAAGTCAGCAATTATCAAGCTAGGGTATACCTACCCTTAGGGACATATGAAGACTTTCCAAGGAGCATGTGGGTACAGATAGTTTGGGAAGAATTACTTTCTAGATCTTCAACTTCCCAATGTTCACTTTCCAAAATTAATCTACCTGCACAAGTGGTTAGGGCTGGTCCCTCACCCTCCACTTTATACAAGAAAGATACAAGTTCTCATCCTGAATCTTCCTACTTTGCATTACCTGGGGATCCCCCAAAACAGGGCAGTTGGAGATGTTGCTGATGGTGTCAAGAAAATGAACCCACCCTAACAGCTACTAATAAATAGCATACTTCTGCAAGTCACATGGCTTCCACTTCTTTGCCTTTGTTTAATAAAATTGAAGGAGGACAAAAGAACATTCAAAACAGTTTTTGATGACAGATCACTAGGTGATTTTTTTGGCCTATAATTCAGAGTGAGTCCAAAGAATCAAGTGGCATTGCTATAATAAAAGTCTTTTCATTCTCATCTATAGAATCATATTAACAAGGTTTCTCAGGACTTACATCAACAAAAAGAAAAAAGAGAGTTAGAATGGATACCTAAAACACTATGTTATTCTACTAGCAATAAGTAGTATTTATATATGAATACATGGGGGCGCCTAGGTGGCTCAGCCAGTTGAGCATCCAACTCTTGATTTCAGCTCAGGTCATGATCCCAGGGTCATGGGATCAAGCCCCATGTTGGGCTCAATGCTGAGCATGGAACCTGCTTAAGCTTCTCTCTCTCTTCCCCTCTGCCCCTCCTCCACTTACAGGCACTCTCTTGCTCTCTCTCTCTCTCTCTAAAATAAAAATAAATAAATAAAATATGAAGGATATCCAAATTCAAGGGAAAAAATGACTGATATAAAATTTCTCACATTAAAACAGGTGGTTTGCATATTTTAAAAAGTTAATTATGTTAGTTATCACATTTATGTGGTGTGCAGAGTCCATGGAAGAGCTTTAAAAGAACAAGGTAACAGTTTGCCCCAGGTCATGATCTCACAGTGCATGGGATCGAGCCCCGGGCTGGGCTCTATGCTGACAGTGTGGATTCTCTCTCTCTCCCTCTCTCTCTCCCTCTCTCTGCTCCTCCCCTGCTCATGTGTGCTCTCTCTCTCAAAATAAATAAGTAGACATAAAAAAATAAAATAAAATGAACAAAGTAATGAATGAATGACAGAAAGACTTGCAATGGCTGAAGCTGGAAGGGGAACCAGGAACCGTGTCTGGTTGGCTGGCTAGCTGTCAGAAGAAACCAGTGGTCTGGGGAGGAGAGTGAATTTGATTTTATTTTCAACAGTGCCACTGAGATATAAACCACACACCATACACTTCACCCATTTAACTGTACAATTCAATGGTTCTTTAGTATATTCACAGAGTTGTGCCACCATCAGTCACTACCATCAGTGTTAAGAGTATCTTCTCACCCGCAAAGACTCCCCATACCTGTTAGCAGGCACACACACATGCCTCCATTTTTCCTTAACCCCCCGGTCTCTGGCAACCACTAATCTACTTTCTCTATGGCTCAGCGTATTCTGAGTATCTCACGTAGATGGAATCACACAATATGAGGTCTTTTGTGACTGACTTCTGTCACTTAGCATCATGTTTTTAAGGGTCACCCATGCTGTAGTTTGTGCCAGTAAAAGTTTGATTTTGACCATGCTGAACTGGAGGTGCCCTCAAGAGGCACCTTGGAGGCAGCTGGACTTCTGGGGCTCTAGAGAGTGATGAGGGATAAAGTCATCACCAGAGGTAACAGCTGGAACCCTGGGAAGAGGTGAGGACAGTCAAGGCAAGTAGAAGGAATAAACAAAGAGAAGAAAGAATAGAATGCTAGAGAATGCTTATATTTTTTTAAGGATGCATAGAAGAAGGGAAACCACCAAATAAGACAAAGAAGTCATAGAGAGAGATAGTGAAACTGGAGGCTCCAGAGGTCACAAATGTCTGAGGGCGATGATGGCACACTTCAGGTCCAGGGACACAGTGGGTGTAGAACGGATTCTTGGTGATCTACCTGATCTTGGCTCCCATTCTGTCTTTGCACCCCATGACTTTCAAGGGTTTCTTCAACCCCAAGAGCCACAGATCCCAGTCTCTAACTTCCTTCTTGCAGCGTCTTTACAATCTCTCCCTTCTCCCTTTCCTATCCACGGACCGAGTGCTGGTAGGCACCTCGCTGACAGGCACCCCGAGGACTGCTAAAGAGGTCCAGGTCTCCCTGACTAAACACTCAACCGCTAGCATTTTTTTCAGAGGCAATGTTCTCAGAGGTGGCTTCATGAATTTTTACTACGTTCTCTGTCCTACTCCCCCAAGAATTTCTGAAAACTTTGTGATGAGCAGAGGATCTTTAAAGGGGGGCATTTGTGAATGGCTGTGAACAGACCAGCCTTACTCCAGGTGGTAACAGACATTCCTCCCACCCCCTCATCGTCTAGCCCAGGCACAGAATCTGAGAGAAAGGAGACACGATAAAAGACAATGTAGGTGCCAGAATGGGATTAATAATGATAAACACCAGATAAACTAGGAGGAAGCATTTCAGTTCTGTACTTCTTAATACTGCTTGGGAATCCTGCTATTTTGTAGGCAGCTGGGGAGCCACAATCAGTCTTGTGAAGTGGGACAAGAAGAAATATTAGGAGCACATCTAGGATCTCCCCCACTCCTTCCTGAGACCGTTTGGTGTTGGAGAGAGGAAGCACGTGAATGATGGCACAGTGACTGGACCGCACTACAGATGAGCACCACAAGACTTCCAAGTCAGGAATGATCGGCCCAGGCATTTCACCACGGCTAGGGAGGGAGCAGTCCAGACAAGGTCAGTCTGAACCTTCCTGGTGGACTGTCAGGCACGTATGGGTGTGTAGGTTCAGATCTGGTTTCAGGCTAGAGCAGCCCCAGGGCACCTAGATTAATTAACTGGTGATGAATCTTTAATTCATCTAGGTGGTGATCTAATAACAATAAAAAGAATGAATTCTCTTTTAGGGCAAAAAGCAAAAAAAAGTGGTGTACAGATGGTGCCCAGACTACGGCTTCTTTCCAGGACAGGACCTTCAAAGTTCCCTCCGAAGCAGAAGCTTGAGATGAAAAGTGATATAAGTGGTACCTCACATTCAGTAACTCCATTGGAGCAAAAGTGGCCCTAATCGAAGGGAAAGCGGAAGCAAGCAACACTGGAAAAAACTAAAGACTCCAAGCCTTCACACCTCTTTTCTTTCAGGGCATAAAGGTTGAGGGAAAATGAAGTAATTGGTCTCAGTCATCAGTTTACACACATGGAATGGGGTTTCAGAGCAGCACAATACTACTGGGACAGCCCAAAGGCCAGGTAAGCCTTAAGTGCCTTAGTTCAGACCGTGGCAGAAACAGAGAAGGTGCAATGCCTCATTCCTTATCCTAAAGGGTAGGAGAATGTGGAACTCAATTGTTAAGTAGGATGCTAATCGTATGGTATGTACCTCATTTCATGCCATACTTGGAGAGCTGGGCTGTTCAAACACAAATCTACAAAACAGCCTGTTTATGCCTCGCTTGTAGGTACTGACAGTAGCCAGAATGTAAAAGCCCATGTCAGAGCTACAATACAAAGACAAAGTAGCATCCAGAAGGACAGGCGTAAGAAAAAGAGCTGTAGACAGTGAATGTCACAAAATGCAGTGTGTTGGGACTGCTTCTAAAGCCCTCAGATGGCAGTGAAAGACAAAGGAAGGCAGGCCAGACCTGCACTGGATGTTACCTGTAACTGCTACATTTTAGAGGACATAAAACGCCTAGCCCCTAAAGACTAGAGACTCATAGCAGCTTGTGGCCTCCTCTAGGACACACTTCTTAGGTCCTCAGATGAAGGCTTGATGTCTGGTTTCTATTTGCTGTTAAGGGAGGCTGGTGGTCGATGTGGTCTGGAAGAACTGGGTGGTCAATAGGAAGTTGGCACGGTGAGGCTAAGAAAAGAATGACTAAACAGCACAAGTTCAATGAGCACATAGAAACTGCAGGCTGAGGCAGATGGTCAAGCCCTCAGGAGTCCCGAGTCATCTAAAAACTAGAGGTAAAAATGGAGTCAGAGGAAGCTAACAGAGAGCCAACAGAAAAGAACACACAACATGTACTCGAATCCCAACCTTGCAACTGAGGAAAAGGCTTGCCTCAACCTTCTTCCTTGAGTGGAAATCAATGACTTGCTTCCCCGTCAACAGCCAGGCTGCCATCTGTGAATGAGGACAAATGCCTAGAAGATCTGTTGCAAAGAAACTTGCCACACGAGTCAGGAAGAAAAGCAGCACCTCGGCCTAACAGTAGGGAAGCGTACAAGAGGGGAAATGTGTCCAGTTACACTCATGTTCTCAAGGAACAGATGGCTTTCATAACCTCAGTGACATCAAGAGTGACACGCATGGTGAAATGCGAAACTTCACCTAAGGTATCCAGTTGAAATCGGGGGGTGGGCGGTGAGAGAAGTTACAGAAAGTATTATAGTTAATGCTAAAGCTTAAAAAAACACAAACGGGGGGGGCGCCTGGGTGGCTCAGTTGGTTGAGCATCTGAATTTGGCTCAGGTCATGATCTCACGGCTCGTGAGTTCAAGCCCCGCGTCGGGCTCTGTGCTGACGGCTCAGAGCCTGGAGCCTGCTTCCGATTGTCTCCCTCTCTCTCTGCCCCTAACCCACTCGCATTGTCTTTCTCAAAAATAAATAAACATTAAAAAAAATTTGTTAAAATAAATAAATTAAAAAAGCCCACACAAACGGTTATCAATTCCGTTCTACTAGTCCATCTTCTGAAAAACAAGTTTTACTAACATCACTACGCAAGCTCAGGGTAAAGGCTTCACAAGTATGAATAATTAAGGAAACACTTATGGTTAGAAAATTCATAAAACCACCGTTGGACTACATGATAGCAACACTGGATACACATACATTTCTCAAAGAAAACACAGCCCCAAGTGAACAAAACTGAGTCAGAAAGTTGGCAAGCATGCCTCACTTAACTGATGTAATGTTATTGCTCTCATTTAAAATATCCAGAAGGTAACTTCATATCATTTTTATGCTGCATTTTGAAATATAAACATGACAAATTTAAGTAAAATCAATCCACACCTAAAAGAACAAAATTCAAATTATCGAGAAACTTTTTATTAACATTAAGAGTTAGCACATGTGGCGATGGTTGCCAGGCATTATGAATGCAATTACTGCCACCGAATTGTACACTTAAAAATGGTTAAAATGGCAAACTTTATATGCATTTTACCACAATAAGAAACACATGAATGGGGGGAGAAGGAGAGTTAGTATATTTTGCAATCGTGTGTCCTTTTCATACAGTCAGTTCAATATCCTTTGGTACTTAGATAATTCACATTGTAGAAGGCTAATACACCTGTTAAACGTTTTTTACCTGAATTTCCATTTCAAACATTAATCACACAACAGAAATTCCAAAGTAAAAAGCTCAAACAGCTGACATATTCACAGCATTTGGGGCATAACAGCAAAAAGCATTTTAACATTAGACAGTCTCACAACTCTATCACCATCACTCTTTGAACTTTTTCTTCAACTATCATGCAATAACATTTGTGAAATCTAGGTTGTAACTTAGGTCAAAATTAAACTAAAAAAAAAACATTTGATCTATTAAACATAGATGATTTAAGAGTTCAAAAGTCACTCTACATTTTTAAAAGATCATAATGCAACTAACCTTTTTCTTCCTCAGTAATTTTTCTCTGAATTTATTAGTGATAAATCCCCTTGGGCCAGCAAATCGTAAACGCTGATATTTAGCTTGAATGTATAAGCTCTTCTGTACTAGGCCTGATTTATAATGGGGCTGGAATCTGCCACCTCTAAAGTTGGTCTGTAAAGAAAAAAAAAAATTAAGTGTAAAAACTACAGCTTCCAAATCTATTAGTGTAAGAAATGGGGAAATGTCCGGTACTCTTGATTCTAGGCACCATGTATATTAAAAAGGAAGAGATTACTGATGGTAATAAAGTATGTTTACCTCAAACTAGCCTCCTAGTTTAGTTTATATAATGATTTTTTTTAATTTACATAAAAGCTATTTTTTTTTAATTTTTTTTCAACGTTTTTTATTTATTTTTGGGACAGAGAGAGACAGAGCATGAACGGGGGAGGGGCAGAGAGAGAGGGAGACACAGAATCGGAAACAGGCTCCAGGCTCCGAGCCATCAGCCCAGAGCCCGACGCGGGGCTCGAACTCACGGACTGCGAGATCGTGACCTGGCTGAAGTCGGACGCTTAACCGACTGCGCCACCCAGGCGCCCCAAAAGCAATTTTTAAAACTAAGTTAAAAGTTTTGAAATTCTTGGGGCATCTGGGTGGCTCAATTGGTTAAGTGTCCGACGACTTCGGCTCAGGTCATGATCTCACAGTTCGTGAGTTTGAGCCCCGGGTTGGGCTCTGTGCTGACTGCTCAGAGCCTGGCGCCTGCTTCGGATTCTGTGTCTTCCTCTCTCTCTGTCCCTCCCCCGACTCGCACTCTGTCTCTCTCTCAAAAATAAACAAACATAAAAAAATTGAAATTCTTGAAATTTATCATGTAAAAAAGTACCACTTTCAAAACCTTATCTAATGTGCTAAAGTTATCCTTCTGGGGGCACCTGGGTGGCTCAGTCAGTTAAGCGTCCAACTTCAGGTCAGGTCATAATCTCATGGTTCAAGGGTACAAGTCCCACATTGGGCTCTACACTGACAGTGCAGAGCCTGCTTGGGATTTTTTCTCCTTCTCTCTCTGCCTCTCTCTCTCTCTCTCTCTCTCTCTCTCTCTCTCTGTGACCAAATGAATAAATAAAAACTTTAAAAAAAAAAGCTTCTAGGGGTGTTTGGGTATCTCAGTTAAGCATCCAACTTTGGCTCAGGGCATAATCTCACAGTTCAAGGGTACAAGCCCCACACTGGGCTCTGTGCTGAGAGCTCAGAGCCTGGAGCCTGCTTCAGATTCTGTGTCTCCCTCTCTCTCTGGCCCTCCCTATCTCTTTCTCTCTCAAAAATAAACAAAACATTTAAAAAAGGCTTCTAAAATTATCCTTCTGATTTACAGTGTAATATATCAAATCCCCAATTGGGGGAGGACATTAAGTATCAACATCTATTTAAGAATCAAAAACTCTCTAGGGGCGCCTGGGGGGCTCAGTGGGTTGGGCGTCCAACTCTTGATTTTGGCTCGGGTCATGATCTCACGATTCATGTCAGGCTTGGTGCTGCTTGGGATTCTCTCTTCCTCTCTCTTCCCCTCTCCAGCTTTCTGTCTCTCTTTCTCTCTCTCTCTCTCTCTCTCTCTCTCTCTCTCTCTCTCACATCTCAAAATAAATAACTTTAAAGAAAAAAAAATAAAAAAACTCTCTTTATTCCTGTCAGTACCTTCAAAAGTCAATCTTTCTTTACCATAAAAATCCCATTACAGCAAATGTTTTCATGGTAAGAGTTTACACTGAAAAAGACCATTTCCTGATCTGCATACTGCCCAGTATTATAAGAGACATAAGAGGACAAGGAATATTTGTTTGATTTCCCTGTGGTGAATGTACAAATGGTATATTATAACAGAATAATTATCAAACCCAAATATAACCCTGTTTCCACAATTAATGAACAAATGGGTATGTTGTGCATAATGAAGCATAATAGTTTATTTAAAAAAGCATTTATGCCAGGCCTATTTTCCAATTATTTTCTTAAGCCTACAGAAAATTCAGGTAAAAAAGAATTATAATGAGACACAACTCTTTCATTAAAACTATCTGCACAAACTTAACATATAAGAGCTAATCTTGAAATTTACACTGTCCGTTTTTACATATCTAACAAAGTGATTACTATCTGGCTCTGAATTAGTCTAACTCCTGTAAAAAACAAATTTTCATGAAATGGTTCCTTTTCTTAGAAAGGACTACTTCTCTCTATTTTACTGTAAAGAATTATGAACTTCTAAACAATCATGTAACATTACACAGCTTTAAACGATTGGTCAAAAGGTTTTTATTGCATATATTTTGAAAAACATTTAAAAATAATTAACATTTAAGAATTTCCCTTAAGAAGAAAGGGTAACAGGAAATAGGCCTTGCAACAATCTTAGAAAAATACTACAATCAACTATATCTGACCAATGAGAAGAAAAACATGTAGGAAGCCTAGGAAGCACTCATACGGGACAGCCCAGTTATACTGCCTCGAAGTTAAACAGACATCACATTTTCAGGTGGTTTTATGGCTCATTAGTCAAGATACTAAAAGATGGTGTAAAACATGTTTACATATTCTATGGCCACTGCCATAGAATATTTTTGAAAAAACCTAATGTCACCTGTTTTTAGGTACATGAAACACTGGCTAAAAATGTTACCTACACAATGCTTTCAAATTGTGTTACTGCAAATGAAAACAATCTTTGGACGTCTAGAATTAGGCCTCTCAACAAGCCAGGCATTGAAAGAGGACCACTCATAACTACCTCCTAGTCTATGGTTTGGGGACAGTTTATACTACCTTTATGCTAATATTAACTTCCTCCGAATGAGCTAACCAGTCTATCAGGTCTGCCTGCTACTTTCACCAAAAAACCTAGATTATTTTCCTTTCTTTCAAGGGGGAGGGGAAAAGACGCTATAGAGTTAAAAATATTAATGATGTACCTATTACATAAGCAGGAAATTTAGTCAAAATGGATTTAAAAGCATGTCAACTTCTGAGAACAAGGAGAGAAATACAGCACTTCACACTATAATTCTTATTCCATATATCTGTGTGATGAGGTGTTTTGAATAATCAAACAATCACATTAGACATAGCTGTACAAATCATTAGAATGTGATGAAATAGGCTTGAACAAAGCTTGCTGGACCAGAATCTTTCTGAGATGATGCAGAAGGCCTCTGAGGGTTGTACACCTATGGGCAGGATTTTTCAGTCTGTGAACCTTGGAGAAGGTTCACAGAGCTATGCATTTACACCTTAGAGGTAAAGGGGCAGGCGTAAAGGGAAGGTCTTGAACCTTGTCTGCCTCCTCATCTAGAGCCACTTCATCTGTGTCTGTTTTATGCATTTGTGCTTTCCATATAATATTTGAAAAAGGATTCCACTGGTAAAAAAAAAAAAAATTGAAAATCAAGTTCCGAGGAAAAAGGTTACCATTAAACTGATTACAGTTAACTATAAATGTATGTCCAGGAATCTTAGTGTATAGTCACTATTTGAAATATCACAAAAGCAGCTTTTAATTTACTAACACTTAGAACATTATGTTCAAAGCATAAACCCAAAGCTAGAATTAAATGGAAAATAACACTTAATACCTTAAATGGTCTTCTAAAGCTTGTTGTGTTTTGACGGTTTCCCTCAGCTCCAAAGGGTTTGTGAGTAATGACGTCTTTTTCCTGCATGGTATAATTCTGCATGAAAAAAGCAGGAGTATGGGTTAATATACTTTAAAGTTTATTTTTAAAATTTCATCTTACCATTTAAAAAATACGAGTTTTGGGGGTGCCTGGGTGGCTCAATTGATTAAGTGTCCAACTCTTGACTTTTGTTCAGGTCATGATCTCAAGATTTGTAAGATGGAGGTCTGCATAGAGCTCTGTGCTGACAGCTTGGAACCTGCTTGGGGTGCTCTCTCGCTCTCTCTCTCTCTGTCCCTCCACTGCTCACTTTTTGTCTCTCTCTCAACAACAAAAAAAAAAGCATTAAAAAAAATTCAAGCTTTGGGCAGAGGACTTGAATGCACATTTTTCCAAAGAAGACATCCAGATGGCAAACAGACACATGAAATGATACCCAACATCACTCATCATTAGGGAAATGCAATTCAAAACTACAATGATCTATCATATCACACCTGTCAGACTGGCTAACATTAACAACACAAGAAACAACAAGTGTTGGCAAGGATATGGAGAAAAAGGAACCCTCGTGCACTGTTTGTGGGAACGTAAATTGGTGTAGTCACTGTGTAAAACAGTATGGAGATTCCTCCAAAAATGAAAAATAGAAATACCATATGATCTAGTGATTCCAACACTAGGTATTTACCCAAAGAAAATGAAAATACTAGTTCAAAAAGAGATACATGCACCCTAGTTTATTATAGCGTTATTTACAATAGCCAAGAGATGGAAGCAACCTAAGTGTCCATTGATAGGTGAGTGGATAAAGAAATGTGGTCTATATACGATGGAATATTACGTGGCCATAAAAAAGAATGAGATCTTGCCATATGTGACAACATGGATGGACTTAGAGGGTATGATAATAAGTGAAATGAGTCAGAGAGAGAGATAAATACCTTATGATTTCACTTATATGTGGAATATAAAAAAATGAATAAACAAAAAAAAGCAGAAAAAGACCCATGGAAACATAGAACAAACTGATGGCTGCTAGAGGAGAGGGGGTGAGGAGATAGGCAAAATGGATGAAAGGGAATGGGAGATACAGGCTTCCACTTATGGAATGAGTAAGTCACAGAGATGACTGTGCATAGGGAATATTGTCAATGGTATGCCAATAATGTTGTATGGGGACAGATGGTGGCTACACTTTTGAACATAGCATAACATACAGATTTGTTGAATTACTGTGTTGTCCACCTGAAACTAATTTAACACTATGTCAACATACTTTGATAAAAATATTTTTAAAAATTTTTAAATAAAAAACACGTTATTTAAATGAAGATTTAAAATATTTATTTATATTTGAGAGAGAGAGAAAGAAGGAGAGAGAGAGAGGGCACAAGCAGGGGAGGGGCAGAGGGAGGGAGACACAGAATCCAAAGCAGGCTCCAGGCTCTGAACTGTCAGCACAGAGGCCGATGCCGGGCTCGAACACACAAGCTGTGAGATCGTGACCTGAGCTGAAGTTGGATGCTCAACGAACTGAGCCACCCAGGTGCCCCCAAAACACACATTTTAAATATATAGGATTGAGAACACAAAACATGTAGCACATACCTTAGCTGTAGGAACATATACATATCTTCCTTCACATAACCCATGCTAGCCTGTGAGGGCCTAGTTTAATTTATGAATGTGAGAACAATTTAAAAAATACTCCTATATAACACAAGGCATAACTTTTAGAAAAATGGCCATACGTTAGTATTTATTCAGGCATCCAGAAGAGAACCAAATCCATTATTATCTGGAGTTGCTACAGAGTTCCCACTGCCTAAGAAGAAAACAACGGGGCCCATTCTGAAGTTTCTTTTTTTCCAAAATCAAGTCTTATAACCTTCTTTTAAAAACAATTTTTTTAATGCTTATTTTTGAGAGAGAGAGAGAGAGCGCGCACGCGCGCGCGCTAGTGGGGGAGGGTCAGAGAGAGAGGGAGACACAGAATCGGAAGCAGGCTCCAGGGTCTGAGCTGTCAGCATAGAGCCCGACGCGGGGCTTGAACTCACAAACAGTGAGAAAATGACCTGAGCTGAAGTCCGACGCTCAACCGACTGAGCCACCCAGGAGCCCCAAGTCTTATAACCTTCTATTTATTCCATTGGCTATTCCATTTGCTGTACTTCTCACAAATCTTCCTCTTTCACACCTTTATCTCTTCCTCCAGTTTCATATAAAACTCTTTTCACAGTAGTCATCATGAATTTATATCAAGTCTATAAATTTGAATAAGTGCATAATCATACATATAATGAGATGAGACTTTGGGGGGACCCTGGTAGGGAGGGGTGTATTTTGCAAGTGAAAGGATGTGAATCATTGGGGCTCAGCAGAAGGACCGTACCAAACAGCTTCTGATCAGGCTCCCAATGCTCCCCACCTTCTAGTATCCAGGCCCCTATGTCATTCCCTTCCTTTGAGTGTGAGCTGGACCTAGTGACTTGTGTCTTACAAATGGCCGTATGACAGAAGTGACAGAACATCACTTCTGAGATTACATCACAAACAGACTCTGGCTTCCAACTTCCTAGCTATCGCTTGCTCTCATTTCAAAAGCCAGCTGACATTTTTTAAAAATGTTTATTTACTTTTGAGAGAGAGAGAGAGAGAGAGAGAGAGAGAGAGAGAATGCAAGTTGGCGAAGGGCAGAGACAGAAGGAGATGCAGAATCCGAAGCAGGCTCCAGGCTCCGAGCTGTCAGCACAGAGCCCGATGTGGGGCTCAAACCCACAGACCATGAGATCATGACCTGAGCCGAAGTCAGACGCTTAACCGACTGAGCCACCCAGGCGTCCCATTCATCTGACATTTTTTAAACTGCCTTATGAAGAGGCAAATCTTTAGAGACAGAAAACAGATGAGTGGTCAACCAGGGGTGGGAACAGGGAATAACTAAAAAAGCACGAGGGCTATTTCTGGGGTCATGAAATGTTATAAAACTGGATTATGGTGATGGTTACACATCTTGGTAAATTTATAAAAAAAAAAAACCATTAAATTTTATACCTAAAATGGGTGAAAGTTTTATGGTATGTAAATTATACCTTAATAAAGTTGTACCCAAAAAATCTTGAGAAAGCTAGTACTATAATAAATGAAATAAAATCCTACTAAATCAGAGATAACTATTTCTTCTCTCATAATAAGTATAAGATTCAGAAGAACACTAACAATGAACAACAGAATTGTAACACGTACTCAATGAACAGTTAGAAACATGGAAAAATACTGGTGGTCTCTATATATACACATATATGTGAGGAGAATGGAGTGTACCAAAATGAAAAATTCGGAGCTGCATTCTTACCATGTGTGGTTTCTGAATAAATTTTCTAAAATTTGATTTTGTAAAACCTATAGGTTTTTGGAATTCATCAACATGAATATTCTTCAACCCTGAAAAACTGGAATGCTCATCATTCCTAATAAAATGAAAGAGAGAAAATAACGTTTTATTAGTTTACCTTTATCTAACAAATAAAAAAGAGAAATTAAATTGCCCCCTTCAGAGACAATCAAAGCAGCAAAACAGTTAAAAAGAAACAAAACAAGAAAACAAAACAAACCAAAAAAACACTCAAAGACTCCAAGATCTATCACTACTAAAATTACAAATCATAGTTATCAGGGCTAAAACCTTTATTTTTCAACAAACATTATTGAGCTAAGTTGAAAGTCAGCAATAGGGGGAAACAGTATTCCTTGGACCAAGGTTCTCACTCTGGGGTCCAAGGACAGGTGTCCTAGGGGTTGTCATCCCCTGAAACCATACGTAGAATGTGTGTTTTCTGAGGGACGATAACCACTGCTCTTGAGACTCCGGCAGGACTGGACGCCCCCTTCCTGATAGGCTCTTATTCATGAAAGCACCAGAGACAAAGAGTGTGACTGGCTCGGGTCCCCTATTGGCAGAGCTGAGACTTCTGACACTGCTGGGCCACAGAAGCGAAGGACAGCTCCCTTCTCCTGTCGTCACCATGTCCAGAGGCCACCAAAGCCTCTTCTCAGGCTGCCCGACCTGGGACGGAAGGTCCTTCCTTGGGATTGCCCTCTGAACCTGGGGCCTCATTTTCACAGCCCTCCGGCAGTCCTCTCCTTGTCACGTCCCACATCTCCCCACAGTGTTCCTCAGACGCTTCCTGCTCTGTGGTGAACAAACTGCTCACTGTCTCGGCCTGCTTCAATCCCTTCCATGCCCCCCCCCCACCCACTGAACGTCAGGTTAAAATCCATACTCCTCATCATGATCTTCAAGGCCCTGCCTGCTGTGGCCCTTGCTATCTCACCAGCTGCTGTGTTCCAGTCTCCCCAACATGCACACCGAGCACGGGGAACATTTAGCAACCCACAGTTCCTAACACACCACCATCTCTCCTGCTCCCGCAAGTCTGCAGGAATAATTCCTTCCGTTGTAATTACCTCCCACTTAGGTCAACTTCCAGATTTAGCTCCACCTGCACTGTTCCAGGAAGGCTTTTCCTGACCTCCTGAAGTGGACTAGTACCCCTGCTACGTGAACACGTAGCATTTGGGAGTCTTCCCACGTATCGCTCGTGTTTGCAGGTGCCTGTCTTATGCAGCAGGGTGTCATCCCTTAAAAGGAGACACTGTGGATGGGTCATTTTGTGGCCCCAGCTTTGACGCCCAAACCTGACAGGGAACGGCCACTCAGGGTATTTTGAAATGTTACAAACTCTCATGTTCTGTCAAACTGCTCATGGTATGACAGTAAGTCAAAAGAGAAGGGTGCAAAGCTGAGATGATTTTTTAAAAAGGTTTATTATTTGGGGGGGTGCCTGGCTGGCTCAGTTGGTAGAGCATGCGACTCTCGGTGCCGGGGTCTCGAGCCTCACGTGGGGCCTGAGCCAGCCAGGCACCCCGAGGATGATTTTAATTACTTAAAATAAACTACATATATGCCCAGAAAAAAGTAAATGACAGGAAATGTACTAAATATTAACAGTGGTCATCTCTGACTCATGAAATTAAGAATGCCTTATATTTTTATTTGTATACTTTATATTTCCAAATGTTTGCCACTGACGTGTACTACTAATTTTATTAAGAAAACAATGGACTTTAAAAATTCCTCTTTGCAAAGCATATATCTGATAATGGAGTAATGTCCAGAATATATAAAGGACTCTTTACATCTCAATAATAAAAATACAAGAATCCAATTTAAAATATGGGCAAAGGATTTGAATAGGTATTTCTCCAAAGAAGACACACAAAAAGCACATGAAAAGATCCTCAACATCATCAGCCACTAGGGAAATGCAAATCAAAACCACGATGAGATAACATTTTACAGCCACTAGGATGGCTATAATTGAAAAGATGACCCCACCAATGTTCGTAACGGCATTGTTCACAACAGACAAAAGATGGAAACAAACTAAATATCCATCAAAAGAAAAATGGACAAATAAAATGGGGTACACACATACAGTGGAATGTCAGTCAGCCTTAAGAAGGAATGAAAGTTTTTTAAAAACGAAATTCTGACACATGATATGACATGGCTGAAAACATATTCCGAAGTGAAATAAGCCAGACACAAAAGGACAATTGTTGTATGATTCCACTTATATATATGAGGTACCTAGAACAGGCAAATTCACAGAGATGGAAAGAAGAGAGGTTATCAGGGGCTGGGAGTAGAAAGGATGGGGAGTTACTGTTTAGTTGGTACAGTTTCTGTTTGAGAAGATGAAAAGATTCTGGAAGTGGATGGTGTGGATGGTTACACAACACTGTCAATGAATGTACTTAATGCCAATGCATTCTACACTTAAAAATGTTTAAAATAATAACATTTATTATATGTATATTTTGCCACATTAAGAACATTTCAAACCTTTGATATCTATTTTGTGACCAGGCAAATGAGTGTGCACATTGAAGAAACTACTTCCCAGACTGCCTGCAGCAAGGCATGGCCATGGGACTAAATTTTGACCAATGGTGCTGAAGTGGCATGTGAAAATTCCAGGAGGTTTTTAAAGAAAAGGCGAGAAGACAGACATGACGGCTTGGGCACAAACACCCATTCTGGACCATGAGGCAGACGCCATGTGCAGAGGATATCTGAGGAGCAGGATCTAAGGAGGCTGGTTTCCTGATGGATCCACCCTACCTACCATGCTCTGACGTCCTGACTGGACTCTTTTTCTACATGAGAAAGAAATAATGTTTTCTCCTGCTCTTACAGTCCATTCTCTACCCAGCAACCGGGGTGAATCTTTTAAAATTTAAGTGAGATTATATTTCTTCTTGAGTTAGAACCCAAAATGTTTCATAATCTCACTCAAAGTAAAATACTGAGTCCTCACGTCCTCTAAAGTCCTCTGCAGTTCGGCCTCATCTACTTACTCTCTTCTTTTCCCACCGTGTTATAACCTCATTGGCCTGCTTTCTGTTTTGTTTGTTTGTTTGTTTGTTTGCTTTCTATTCCTTAAACAAGAGTAAGCGTGATCCTGCCTGAGGCTCTTTGCCTTTGTTGCTCCCTCCTTAAAATACTATCCTCTCAAAAAACCTTACTAATTCCCTAACTCCTTCACTTAATTCACATCCCTGCTCAATTAAAAAAAGAAATCCTACGTGCATTCCATAACCACCCTAGATAAAATCACACCACACGTATCACTCTGTCCTATTAAATTTCTTCTTCTGCCTTATTTTCACCTTTCACTCGTCAACATGTAGGTATTTATTTTTCCTACCGTTAAACTGTAAGCTTGACAAGGACAAGGACTTTGTGTATACCTCTTCACTGTATGTTTTCTGTACGCCGTGTAGCTAAAAGGAAAATCTCCGCAGCCTGACGTCCCCTCAAAGTCTATCGATTCTATTTTGAAGCTGCTTTATCCCACACACACCATGCCAATGTATGCACATTGCAGCACAACACCTTGGTAGCACTGTATGGAACTTAGGAATGCTGGTTACAAGAGGGAGAAATAGTGGGTCAGGAGAAGACATGGAGATGTTAGAGTAAGAGATTGGTCAGAAGTAGGGAGAAAAAAAAAGAGAACACGGTCTTCGAGACGAGACAGAATGTCCTAGTGTTAGGCTTGCTTGGGAAAGATTACCTAAGGTATTAGGGAATAAATAGCAATCAAGGTTTAAATGTGTCACAGTGTAAGTATCCTCTGTCCTATCTACTTCTTTGCAAAGTCTTCACTCATTCAACAGCTCTGAGTTGAGTTCAAGGCAGTGGGGATACAGTGGTGAGGAAACACAGACACAGAGTCTGCATATAACTGTTTGAGGGGCAAAAAGATCACACAGGTGGGAAATTGCTACATCTTGTGCTTCATGATTTCATATTTCATTTCTTCTGAATTTCTACACAAATCTAAACACTGAGATGCCTAAAACGATTTCTGCAAAAATATTAATGAGGTCAACTTCAAAGACTGAATTTCTAAGACAAAAGGATAAACTCAAATGCTTTTTCTTATTTTAAGAATGAAATCGAATTGGGATAAAGTTAAAGGTTCTAAATCATTTTTTTCTCAGTCACTCCTTTCAAGAAAGATGAACAATAAATAACAAGTGCTGGTGAGGATGTGAAGAAACTAGAACCCTCATACACTGCTGGTGAAGATGTAAAATGAAGCAGCCATTGTGGAACACAATGGTAGTTCATCAAAAAGTTACACACAGAGTTATCATATGACTCAACAATTCCAATCCTAAGTATATCTACCCAAGAGATGTGAAAACATAGGTCTGCACAAAAACCTGCACGTGAACGTTCACGGCCTCATAATTCACCACAGCCAAAAAGTGGAAAAGAACCCAAATGTCCAGCCCCCGGTGAATGGATCAACAAAACGCGGTTATCCATACATACAATGGACTATCACTCGGCCATAAAAGGAATATTCATGCTATGACATGCAGGAGTGCTGCAAACAACACGCTACATGAAAGAAGTCAGTCACGAAAGGCCTCACATTATATGACTGCATTTATATGAAACATCAAGAAAAGGACAATCCACAGAGACAGAAAGTGGCTGCCAGGGGCGAGGGGGGAGGAGAAATAGGGAATGACAACTAATGCTTACAGGGCTTCTTGGAGTGATGAAAATGTTTTGGAATTAGACAGTGGTGACAACTGCAGAGCTTCGTGAATATACTAAAAACTACTAAATTTTTTACTTTCAAAGGGTGAATGTTATGGCAAGTAATAGCTCAATTAAAAAAAAACAAACCCTCACGGCTCCCCTATGCCGCACCAGCCATCCAATAAAAATAAAATATTCCAACACAGCCAGCAAAAGACATTCTGCAGAAAGACATCTTGGCATGCTCTACATAGCCTCCAAAGCCAACATCATAACACTTAATGCTGATGAGCTACTCTGCACCTCACACCCGTCGCTTTAGTTAATCTTCACCACCGCCATGAGGTAAGTGTAATTCTCACCTCTAGTTTACATTATGAGGAAACAAAGGTTAAATAACTTGCCTGAGATCAGTCACATAGCTAGGTGTCTACAGAGCCAGGTGTTGAATTTAGGTGTAACTCCAGTGCTCGAGCCCTTTCTCATCTCAAAGGGGGAAGATATATTCTAAAGCATTAAAGCACAGTTTTTATAAAATACTGATTATCTTAAATCTGTTTTTAAAATCCTCTTTCCTGGCACACTGAGTTTCTTACACTTGCTGAGTCAAGACAAGCATGACAGGAGCTTGTGTCACTAAAGAGCACAGTCATACCGTGTCATATTAAGAAACTGGAGACTTTCACCTAGCAAGGGACGAGATTTTAATGATTTTATTTTCAGTTGTTTTATATGCCCCAACACACAGTTTGCTATCTTTTAATTAGTCCCAAACTTATTGTCAGCATAACGTCCAGTTTTAAACAAGCTCCATGTATTCTGACTAAGACCAAGTTAGCCACAGACTTGACGTAAAAGTCTAGTCAATTTGACACTAAGAAATATGGAAAGGGAATTAGCACTGGCCCTTCCAATTCATACATTCCTACTTTCTAAGAGATCCAAACGGTTTGAAGACCCTTGGGTGAACTGGAAATTTTGTCCTCTTCAATTATACCTCATAATCATATGGGGTCCCAGGGTTGCCACGAATTCCACATAGTTTTTAGAACTAGACATAAACTGGGGTCAATCTAAAAATACTCAGAGCCCCCCAAAAAGTACAGAGTTGGGAAAGAAAAACAACAATGTACTGACAATCAATTTGCCATACATGGCATAAGTACTTCGCATGTGGCAGTTCATTTAATATTTCTAACCTGTCCACATCATAAATTAGTTCTTCTCATTTTATAGAGGAGAAGGCTCCAGAAACTAAGCCAGTTTGCCTATGAGCATGCAGCTTGTCAAATGGCAGAGGTGGGATTCCAACTCCTATCTCCTCTATTTTCTAATACCCCTGCCTCTGCTTCATGGACAGACATCCACGAAGAGTTCTAAAAGAGAATTGTACTGACCTCAGGAAATTCTGTAATATTCGGAGAGTACCAGAATCTAAAGGGCAGAACGTGTCAGAGTTTCAAAGAGATTGAGCCAAACAGTCCATAAACTATTACATGCAAGTCCATAAACTTGCAGGTCCTGGTGCCTGCTAATATTCAAAGAGCCATTACACTCTTTCCTAGAATTACAAAGACCTCATATACTCACCTACCCTTTAGTTTTTGTCGTTTCAGTCAAACAGAATACGATGATCACTGAATAGCTTTGAAACATTTTAATAGATTTCACTTAAACATATAAAATAGATTTGAAGGATCAAATCCCTACACTAAAATGAAAATCATCACACACAAAAATTGAAAAATATGCTAAAACCAAAAGCTCCCTGATAACAGGATGTTTTTCATCTACTGATTACCTCTCTGCAGCACTAGCTATGTGAAAAATGTGCTCATCTTCATTCTGTAACCGTTCTTTTCTCCTTCTTTCAATGTCATGTCGTAGGTCATTTGGGTCTATTATTTTGACCAGAGTCTGAGGAATTTTGACAGAAGACAAACCATTCACATTACTGTTAGTTGCACAAAGACCGTATCTAATAAGAACCTTAAGTAAAAGTCCTAAATAAGTTACCTTATATTCATCCTAATGGTAGTGTAAATTGATTAAAATATTTTGAGACACAATTGACAATGCACAGACAGAAAAGTTCATAACAATGAACCAGGAATCCCACTTCTGGGGGTCTATCCCAAAGAAAAGGCTATCTACCCAAATATATCCAAAGTGCTTTATTAAAAATCATCAAAAAATAAGAGCAACTTAAATGTAAAATAAATTTAAAGGAGAAGGGGAGAATGATTTTATGGTAAATTTAAGTCAAAGTAATAATGTACAAGCATTTGAATTATGGTTAATGTAGACTATGTGGAAGTCAACGTGAAAAAAACCCACAATTACTGAGAAAAGTTAATTAAAACTTAAAAAGCCTCAATCATAAAAAGTCATGGGGGAGCTCAGAGATTTTACATAAAAGCAGTATTATTAAGTAAAAAGAAGAGCCTCTAAAACTACATTTCTTATGATAGTGGCTACGTTAAAATGCCAGATGTAAGACTACAAGAAAAGATGATCAAATGATATTTTGTGTTAAATGGTTGAATTAGAGGTGATTTTTCAAATTTCCTATGGGTTGATTACAGTATTTTGATGAATAGAAATTTTCTGAAAATAGCATTTATTCAATAAATGCTATCTCTATAAGTTCAATAAAAACTGTAACCATTCACAAGTGAAAAAAATTACATATTCTATCAGAAGTGTATTAAAATCCTTCTTCTATAAAAACATTCTACTCTCAATGAATAAATTAGCAGTTCTTTTAGAACTTGATATACTTCTAAAACGAGAGCCAGTTTTCTTCCCCTCCCCCCCAACTAGTTAAGAGAGTTTTTCTAATTAGTAAAGAAATGGGGGGCGGGGTGGGTTGAGGAAATGTTGGGTAGAAATTCAATGTGTGGCAATAAAAAAAATCAGTATTACTTCCATTATTTCGCTAGTTCATATTCCACAGAATTTTTCATACATTCTACAGTAAGCAGAAGGTCAATATCAAATGAAAGTAAGTTCCTCTGCATTCATTCCACATACAATTTAAAAAAAATACTCCACGTGACTGCTTTGGAAAAAATGTAGGTATCAAATATACTTTCCACAAGCCTTATAGTGTTAAGTTTTGGAAGGAATATTAAACATTGTAACTATATGTCAATTTTACAAAGCTGTTACTCTTAGGGATTGTCTCTCTTAGGGAATATTTTTGTCTTTTGTCAGTGCTCTCTCTGCAACCTGGCCAAGTTAGAATCACTTGGAGAGCTTTGTAAATTTCAGGTTCCTGAGTCTCAATCCTTCTTTCTCATCTACTTTAACTCCTTTTTTTTTTACTCCCAATTACCAGTTCCCTTTTCCATCAATATGCCAACAATAGGATAGTCTTTCATCAAAAATTGTATTCACTTACCTGTTCTGATTCATATACCATTGTTTGTTTATTCTGAAGCTCAGCCAAAGACATATCTATTCTCCTAAAATAATAAAGGCATATTACAATTAAATAATCATGTTTATACACTGATACCTTGATTCCATTACTACCGAATGGAATTTGAAATAAAACTGGTATGTCCTGGAGGATGCAAAAGAAACGTGCTACCAGGTGGGTTTTCATGTACATGTCAGTCTCCCAGGACATACATATCCTGTGAACAACATCACAGTGATGCCTTAGCGGTTCTCAAATCACTAGCCTGGGTAACCTTAAACTTTGCTCCGGTGATCTACTTCATTCTAACATTGATTCAGCTCAGCTCGCAAGACAGGGCACACCACCTGCTCAGACAGGTGCCAGCAGAAGAAGGCATAGGTTTTCATCCGGCTGCCCTCAGAACAGCCATTTCTGACCACATGAAGCAACCCATGATTTCAATGGCTCGACAATTGTCTTTCATTCTTCCAGTGATAACTTCAGTAGGCAATTACTATAGACACAGCAGAATCAAAGTTAGGTAGGTAAAGATTGTCAAAGTCCTCCACATTTAGACACTGCTAATCAATGGCTTTAATACAACCTATTCCATCCAAGTGCACTGACCCAGTACCTGCCTGGGTCAGTCCTGCTTTTGGGTAGGAAATGCTGTCCTAGAGTCTAAACCAAGCCCAGAAGGCGGCACATTCCCAAATATGTTCTGAGGCTTATTCCGATGAGTTAAATGGGCATACAATAATCAATCATTACCTGTGAATTTCTGGATCTGAATTCGATTTAACTTCATTTACATCTGCAGCGTGTGTATCTCGCATTTTTGAAAAACGCTCATGTAAAGTAATGTCAGGTGATGGAAAATAATTTGCTGAAAAAGGAAACAAATAGTTTTATCTCAGTGTAAAACTGATTCCGCTTAAAAGATTACATATAAGCACAGGAAGAAGGGACTGTTAAAAAACGTCCAACCTGTTTTCTCTTGAAAATATGTGGGACCCAAACTTATTCCACAGACTAATTTGTAGCTCTCACATGGTTTCCCAAGTCTAAGCAACAGGAAAAAAGGCCTGACTTATGAACCTAAGGATTCTGTTCCTATTGGACATGTCTGCCGATTTGCTGGGGGGAAAAGATAGTGTGGCTCTCTCAAAGTGAGAACCTTCCTTCTCCCAGATAAGACCTTACTCTGCTGGGAAGTAAAGACGGTACAGAGTTTTATAGTTGGCCTAGAGTAAAAAATAACTCAAGAACAACCCTGAAACATCAGAAAATTCTGAACAAATGCTAAACGTTGTTTACATATCCCAGAAAGAGTCCTACTGCCATTCTACTTTAATTAACATTAACTGAAGTTCATGAAGACATTCTGAAATCAGCTATGCTACACGGCTTTTAACAGGATAGAGAGAAAGAGAATACACTTAACCCATCAGAATGGTATTTAAGCAAACCTTTTCCCTAACTTACTGTTCCTGTTCTGGGACAATCTCCTGGATTTTTCTGCAATACCAGCTCCCTTTCTGCCAAGAATCATACTTCCTTTGGGTGAGAGGGGCTGGAACTGAGAAGGTGAACTGTTTCAGACAAAACGCATGCTTCAAAGTAAATATATGCCTTAGTTTGAGGGATGCAGAGAAAATAATTCATTTTCAAAACATGTTTCATGAAGGTAAAAAAAAAATCAGTGCAACTGTCCAGTAAGAAATAGAAAATAAAAATTTTGAAATTCTTGAAGGTCTCCAGTTTATTATTCCCATGCCTGCTTTATTATGCAGCATCAATGAAGTAAGTTGTTCCACCTGACTGAAATTTTCAATTAATGGAAATTGGCCAGAAGCTAAAACAAAACAATTTACTGCAGATATTCAAAGTATTTATTATGCAAATCCTTGATGTCATCAAGTATGCCAAATCGAACTGGAATCTTTTATCAATCACTTCACATTCATCCTTATGGCACAAAGTCCTAGTAATGCCCTCAGGGGGCTTTAAGAACATCACCAAAAGACCTAGACTTCCAGAGTTCTTGAGTTTGTCAAGTTTCATATGTGGTGTTTATTGCTTCCTCCTTCTTGTTTGGTTTTCAGTTAATGTTTCTTGCTGCTGTCAGTAGGCCTGTCTCTTGCAGCAGCTAACGTCTCCCTTTCAGTTTGTAATCTACTATGAGTGAAAGTACCAGGTTATTGGAACAACACATGAAGAACTAGGCTTGAATTAATACCTTACACTCTCTACAACAGAGTTCCTTAATAATGATCAAATTTATAATGAAATATTAATTACTCTTACTATATCACAGATATTTACCTATACCTTGTGAAAAGCCAGTACATTATTTTTGTGTTATCCCTAATGTATGTGCAAGATATACCAACCTTTAACTTGATGGATTATAGTTATGATTTCCTGAGCAAATTCTCCTGTAGGTTTGTTTTCAGTATTCTGAGTTGAGTCAAGATGTTCAAACACTGGATGAAAGTTCTCACTTTTCCTGCCAACAGCAACCAAATCATGTGACATCTGTCTCTCTGTGGAATAGCTAGAAGCAACCCTAGAATAATTTGTAAATGTTTAACTAAATTTGAAACTATTTTACTGAGAAAAAAACTTATTAAAAATTAATCAAGATAGCTATAAAACTAAAAGGATGTTTATCTTTTCTTATAATTAAGGCATTAAACTGTATGCCATAAAACATGTGCAATAATGCGCAGGAGAAAATAGCTACAGATGCATGAGTTTGAGTTCTCCTTTTCAATCAGAGATCATTAAATATTTGCCACTTTAATAATAAAATCCTCAACATTCTAAGTTAAACAATTTTTACCTAAAAAAATACAGCAAGGCATCAAAGGTCAATGTGCAAAAAAATAATCAATTAGATTATTTTCTACTCCCAAATGTCTATAAAATTATAAATCCAGCAAGCTTATACTATCTTGAAGTTCTACCACACTTTAAAAGCTGCTATTAAACATAATAACTTCTTTGCCTTCATAAAAATTCTTATAGCTCTGTATCAGTCATGAGAAACTTGGTATTTTGAAATCAAATTCTGTTGAGATGAATCAATTACAAAATCTCACTAAACTGGCAGCAAATAATCTTAGTTGTTAGCAAAGTTATGATCATTAGAACCGATTACAGTGTTCACCCTAAATGTATCCTTAAAGAAATGCTACCATTTATTATATAACCTCAGCTATGTTACCCTTTAATGCTTTCTGAATCTTTGTAACTTGTATTACAAGCTCTCTTGACCTTTAGGCATCATTATCAAGTCATGATTATGACATACAGCTAACAATTATTGAGGGCTCACTGCAAGCCACACACAGGGGCTCAGAACTTGTTTGCGAACATTATCTGATTTAATCTTTACAATAGCCCTATGGGGAAGGCGCTATGACACTGAGACAACGGATGTCTTGGTTGTTTTGGTTTACATCCCAGAGGCTGAGTATTCCTAGGAACATAATCCTTCCAAGTGTCATAATGGGAAACAATTCCAAAAAAGCTGCTCTCACTTAAAACTACTCTTAAATTCTTTGCCTGGAGGCAGATTATATGTCACAGAAGAAAATGTCTCATTATTTTATATTTATACCTCATTTTGGACTCAAAATGGCACTAATTAGCTTACACCCATCTTACTCCTCTGCATTTAACTCTAAATAGCTTTTGCCTCTTTCCAAAAATCATATTCACTACCCAAAGAGTTGAGATTTACAAGTGCTGGGGTTATTTATGAGTATGTTATATAGGCTATGAAGATAAAGCCGAAAGAGAGCCCTGAAATATGTTTTAAATAATAGCAGCACCACTGAATAAATGATACCTCCTCATATAACAAATATCAATCAGATGGATACATGTTGGGATGTGGGTATATGCATGCACGGATTTACTTATTTAAGTCACTTAACAGCCATATATATAAAACCGCTCCAGGGTAATCAGGGGCTTACAGATATTCTTCAAATTTTTTAACTTCTCTCATAAGATGGTTTAAATGCCTATTTTTAACTTATCAGAGGCAAGGCTTCCATATGACCTATGCTCCCTGCTTTCAAACCAGCACTGTCGAGACAACTCCCTGCCAAAGCAGAACCCCGGAAAAGTGATTATGCAGCAGGCTGATGCCACTGTTAAGGTTTCCTTGATTCATCAGAAGGACTTTCATTAGAAGAGCCATTTCTCTTCTTTCCTCCTAATTTGCTCCAAGCTTCCCACTGGGTATCTGATAACAAGCTAAGAGACATTAGTGATAAACACTGGAAGCTAGAATGGCCCTATAACAACCTCTACTAGCAAAGAATTACAAATGCTGTGTTTCACGGTACAAAAAGCCTGTTCCATACCCCCCCCCCAAAATTGCTTTTAAAAATATTTTACAGGAGAGGGGCGCCTGGGTGGCTCAGTGGGTTAAGAGTCCAACTTCGGCTCAGGTCATGATCTCACTGTCTGTGAGTTCAAGCCTGCGTCAGACTCTGTGCTGACAGCTCGGAACCTGGAGCCTGCTTCGGATTCTGTGTCTCCTTCACTCTCTGCCCCTCCCCAACCCACACTCTGTGTATCTCAAAAATAAATAAACATTGAAAAAAATTTTTTTAAATAAAACACTTTACAGGCGAAAAGTAAGATGTTCAAATAGAACTATAAAAATGGTCTGTCCATAAGGGGAAATCAATTGATCACATTTTGTATTGCAGACTCAGTTTCTCCCATGAGGAAACTAGTTGATAACGGTTTCCAGTTTTCCACCAAGTAATTATTAAAATTTACTTGATGGGGCACGTGGATGGCTCAGTCAGTTAAGTGTGTAACTTCGGCTCAGGTCATGATCTCCTGGTTTGTGAGTTTGAGCCCCGCATTGGGCTCTGTGCTGACAGTTCAGAGCCTGGAGCCTGCTTCGGATTCTGTCTCCCTCCCTCTCTCTGCCCCACTCCCATTCTCTCTCTCAAAAATAAATAAAAAACATTAAAAATAAAATAAAATTTACTTGTAACTTATTATAAGTTAATTACTGGTATAATTCCATGCCCAACTCTCAATCCCTAGAAGTGCTATGGTATACTTTACAGCTATATTTAATTCCTGAAATTTTAGTGTTTACATTTGCTATTAATTTATCCTGCAAGGTTTTTAACTAAAAAATGTTAAAATTGTCATTTCCTAGGAAATATTAAAACCGAAATTTTACTCTTAAAAACAACTACAGTTTTTGCTATAAGAAAAGGCTTCCCGAAACTGGGGTACACAAAATGTTCTAGGCATTTACATTAGTACATTTCATCACCTCTTAGTTCACATTTTCCTTTCTTACTTTTTCCTAAGACAGATATTGATTAAAAAGTTAATGACTTCAAGAAATATTCCCAATACAAGTAGTTAAACTGAAAAGACCAAATGTTCTCATTTGAGATGCATTTTAGGCAGTTTTAAAAATTAAAATATAGCCAAACACCTGTATTCTAGTACTATTTCTGATACTGGTCTGATGAAATCTTCCAGGCTCCTCTCTTTTCTCCCCCACACCCCACTCGTTTTTCTTTTCCTCTAAGGATATTTCCTCCGACGTTCTGAGTGTTGTGCATAATAACGAGGAAAACATAAAAAGCTACATTAAACCTTAATTTCCTTTGTACACAGTTAATGTCCATTAAAAAACACAACTGCATGGCAAAACAATAATTACAAAAAGCCCAACAACAACCAAAACTAATGGATAATCCCCTGTCCTCTGGAAGTTTTAAATATACAACAATGTGCATGGGACACATATCAAGTTTTCCTTTCTCAGTTTTCTCCTAAGAACTAACATTTTGTATGACATCCTATAGTTTATAAAGCACTTTCCCAATTATTCATTTGCTCCTGTCTTCCTGAGAAGACATTTAGCTTTTCTGGAATTGAGGGTAAAGGGTTAGGGAGACTGCTAATTCCCTTAATTCAGCATCTCATTATCTTTTCATAAGTACCCTAACTGGCCTCCCCAACCCTAGTGTCCTTCCAAGTCACCTCACAGGTGTCTTCCAAGGCAGTCTTGCAGCAGCCAGAACTGCTTCCTGCCCTCTCTGATCATCAGCTAATCCTGTCAAATCAGGCAGTGTAGCAGTCTTACCTTTGCAGCCTCCCATCCCTCTATTCCCTTTCACTTACTGCTTGGAACCATAGCTCAAAGTTCCTGTGTGCTTTCTGTCTTTGTTAACTTATAAAATGTCTTTCATCTCGGGGTGACTGGGTGGCTCAGTTGGTTAAGCATCCGACTCTTGGTTTCAGCTCAGGTCATGGTACCACTGTTTGTGGGTTCGAGCCCCACGTCAGGCTCCACACGGTCTCTGTGTGGACAGTGTGCAGCCTGCTTGAGCATTTCTCTCTCTCTCTCTCTCTCTCTCTCTCTCTCTCCCTCTCTGCCCCTCCCCTTCTCTCAAAACAAAACAAAACAAAACAAATAAAATAAAATAAAATAAAATAGTCTTTCATCTCATCTCCCTTTGCAAATGTTGAAAAGCTTTGAAGCCTAGCTCACGTGCCAACAACTCCTAAAAGAAGCCTTCTCAGAATCCTCCAGCTTGGGATCATCTGAGTCCCACCTTGTGTGTCATTCACTGCATCATGGTATTACCAACATCACCCTATTGTCTAGTAGATCAGTGGAGAAGAAATCCAATCCTATGCCGATTTATAGTCTGAGAGTACCCTAACAGGCTGTCTCACAGAAGGTAGGTCCTCAAAAAAATTACCTGCTCAATGAATGAATGATAAGTGCAAAACAACTTGGACAATGTGAAATGAGAGTTTCAGCTAAAAAGATGACAGACTTGAAAATTCTAACTGAGGCCAATTTAACTGTGTTTTTTAAACATTCTTGGCTAACTTTTTATTTTAAAATTATAACTTAATTTAGACCAATTTAAATTTTAAGTATTTCACTTTTTTATAATATAAAATTTCAAATATATACCAAAGTTCAGAGAATCCTATGATGAGCCTGTCAACCCAGCTTCAATAGTTACCAACACATGGCCAATGGGAGCAAAGTTGTAGAGCCAGGAGGAACTGCAGGTTAATATGGGCCCCAAAAGGCATGGCCCAGTGATCTGCCCAATGTCACAGAGCTGCTTAGGGACCCACTGGAAGACAAAAACCTATGCACACCAACCTGAAACAGAATGTTCATCTTCTTATACTAGGATCCTTAAGAGACACTAAGAGAAGCTAGGGTGAAAGATAATAATGAAAGTGAAACTTCTCTCAATTAATTTTTGATTTTTAAAAATGTATATAAGAAATATTAGTGGGGTACGAAACCTTAGTTTTTGTGATACCTAACAGTGAGGTAGCAGGTTTGTGTTATCACAAAAATATCTCCACTCATAGCTTATTTTGCCTCCAGATGAACGGTACCCATCATAGGTAGGTAAACTTGTGTCACTGGGTTACCTTCCTTCAATCCTTACTATGGTTTTTCATGTTGTTCCCCCACCCATGGGGCATCCCTTTCCTTAGAGCAGCATATGGGCTCCAATGTCTTCTGGGGCCCATTAACCACCTCATCCCCCTTCAGAATGGGGAAAAACCTGGGGAAAGACCAGAATGGGGTAGGGAGGCCCTTCCTGTATCTCTTGGTGGAGGGGAGTGGGGGTGGGGACAAAACGGTTATATGCAAATGTGACTGATATACTCAGTCCAACATCAACTTTGCTAGCCAACCTTCCCATCCTAGATGCCTAGTACCAGCATGCAGGGCGGTCAACGGAGCCTCAACTCCATCCACACCAGCTTATTCTTCTCCAGAGACAAGCATCCCCTCCTCCTCCTTCTCACTTCCATCCTAGCCTGAGCAAGGTTTAGTCTCTCACCTACTTGGCCCAACATTAAACCAACACTTCCTTCATCTGCCTCAAGACCTCAAGATGTACACAACAGTGCTGGGAGTTCATAATAGCATTCGTATAAATTTTCATATTATGACTCCTTAACTTATATTTTCAAACATATAATTATGACTTATATGTAGCTTCTACCTCTGATGATGCAATTTCTGACAAAGTGGGTCACTAGAATGTAGCCTTTGTTAACAGAAGTTTTAACTATGCAGTGAACATTCAACCAAGTGTCCTCCTACTGCCGTTCTAGATACCAAATGGAGCCTAGAAAAATCACTAGCTCAATCATGTATGTTTTCAACTACATTGATAACTGGAAGAACATACATCGTTATGTGACCAAAGCTAAGAAAATAAACAAATGCATAAAATAGCCATCTCCAATTTCCCCCAAAATGGATAAACCCTCTAGATTTTAACCAACAAATAAATCTCTCTACTTACTCTATGATTATTTTAATTTTTTCAAGCAGAGGAAAATCTAAGTTATGTTAATAGTTGAGAACATGACTCTGTTGAGTCACCTCAAACACTACCTTTGTTTTATGGATACTTCATCAGTCCATACGTAATTAAATCCAACCCCACAAAACTCTTCCACAACTTAACCATTCATCAATAATTATAATCAGAGAGAAAGATTTTGTTGTCTATGCATTATCATACTGAAAAATGCATATATTTATTCATCTTTGAATAGAAAGGATTTGCAGTGTAAGCTCTTTATTACACAAGCCATCCTACAGATCTTCGTCAGGTAATTCAAACAAGTGCTGACAGGTCATGAATTTCACAAACTTACAGTTTATAAATTCAAAAGAAGTGATACAGCAGCTGCAATTTTAGGAAGCTCATTTTCTGGTGACACATGACAAAAATCAAGTTTGCATTTCTTAATATCAAATTATAAAATTAACTCTTGTTAATATTTCTAATGAGGTCTATTGAAATGAAATCCCTCAAAATTGGTATTTCTAGCATTCTTTAAAAGTGCTAAGCCTTTTTTTTTTTTTTTTTAGTATTTTTAAAATATAATTTATTGTCAAGTTAGCTAACATACAGTGTATACAGTGTGCTCTTGGTTTTGGGGTGGGGGAGATTCCTGTGATTCATCGCTTACATACAACACCCAGGGCTCATCCCAACAAGTGCCCTTTTAATTTTTTAACTTCCTTATTAAATATGGGTGTATCATTACTTCTATTTTAAAAATTCAAGATTTTTGTGATGTGATTGTAATTTTACCTCCAAAGGGAAAAAATGTGAACAAAAATGAAATAATGAAGTATTTAAAGGGGAGTATACTGATATCTACAATTCACTTTGAAATGTATGGAAAAAATAAGATGGAAGTATTGATGAATAAACGGACAGATATGTGATCATGAAAGTAGAGTAAAATATTAATTATACACACTCAGTGGTGGATATATAGGCATTTGCTATACAATTCTTTCAACTTTTCTGTATGTTTGAACATTTTCATAGTATAATGTTAGAAAGAAAAAAAGCTTAAGGTAACATCCTTAGAGTTGATCCTTACATCGGCTTTTGTGCTCTTAAGGTTAAGAACTAGTAGGAAACATAATAGTACAAAATGATTGAAGACTTATTATATGAAGTAGGATACAAAATTATAAATACAGTGTTATGACAACCATGTATAAGTATACACAGAAAAAAAACAAAGGAGCTGTACTAAAATATTAATAAAACTGTCCTAGGGTAGTAAAATTATCAGTGATTTCTCCCCTCTATTTGTCCAACTTTCTATAATGTAATCATATTTATAGATGCTTTTTGTGCACATATAAATATACATATGTATATCTTACAGCATTTTTTGTAAGCACAATGAACATAAGGCAAATATGAGGGAGGGGCACTGCCATAAGAAAAGGAACAAAATGTATTTGTTTTAAAAAAAAAGAGAAACTGTGGGTTTACCTCCCTCCCTGTCACATCTTGACCTTCGATTTTGTTTTATCTTGTTTTTGACTGAAATACAGGTATGAGTGAACTGTGAACATAAATGCACCAAATCAACATGTCCCATCACTTTTTTATTCACGTATTGGTAATATATTAAGGTAATAAACAGACTTAGCTGACACAGCCAACTGCAGTGCCTTGTTATTTCCAGAATCCATAGACAGAGGTAATATGCACAATGGAACAAAGCATGCGAACCACTTTAGCAGAATATAACCTATTACAACAGCGGTCTATTTTCTTTAATGAATCATTGAGAGCTAAACTGAGTGTTTGATAAATAGGCCTCTTTCTAGAATCTAGCCTAATTTCCTCTACCTAAGAGACTCTAGTCAGCTGAGCACCAATTGTCTTGGGAGGGCAGCAAGAGCCAGGTTAAGTCATCGGCTTCCTTGAGCCGCAGGTGCTCTGACTTAGACAAGTCGCTTCATCTCTCAAGGCTTTGCTTTCCTCCTCTATAAAATCAGGGCCAGCTAAGGTCCCTTCCAGGTCAAAAATTCTCTGGATTTGAGGCAACAGGGAAAACAGACTCTGAGAAACTGAGCAAGGAATAGGTCCCCTTGAACTCCACCCAGCCTATCCCTGGCTACAGAAAATCTAGCAGCATAAAAACACATAAATTCATGAAGAGGAACAAGTCCATAGAGTGCCCTGCGCCCACAAAGCATCTTGAGATACGATGCGGAAACAAGCAGACATGAGATCATTCCGTATTACCCATCATGGGACTCATCCTCATTACAGGAGGGACTTGAAAAATCCAGGCAATCCTTCCCCACTCAATGGACTCTAAACACACTGTTAATTCCATTTTTAAAGCTTCAAATAAAGGTGGCAGAAACAGATACTTTTTAAATAGCACTAAGAAAAACCAAAAACAATACCTGGATGTATTTACTGTTTTCTTCACATCTACTTTAACAGTAAGTGATTTCTTCCTAAGACTGGCAGATGAAGGTTTCACATTGGAAAGTTTGTTACTTTTATCGAGTTGGTTACTGGAAGAGTTGCTCTCTTTTCCGCCATCCCCATCTTTCTTTATTTTCTCCTTCCGTTTGTCATTGTAGGGTCTCAGGCCAATGTCACTTTCGCGTGAGCGAGTAGAGGCAGTGCAGTCTTTCTTAGATGGTGTGAGAGGTTCTTGGACTTGCCCACCTTCAGTCTCTCTCCCTCTTCCAGCAGTAAGACAAATGGACTGTCTATTTACGGGGCCTTTTTGAGAACTGTATTTTCTCTCTTCTTCCTTAGAGTACTTCGGAATTCTTCCAGCAGAAAAGTCCTGGTCCCCACCTGACGTCTTAGGACGTTTGTGGCGATAGTCACAGGATACCCTGGTTGCCGAACTGGTCTCTGGGGGTTCCCTCTGAGCATATCGATGAGTTTGGGGCCCAAGGTTCCGTTGCTCTTTCTTCCCTTGGTAAGATGGAAGAGAATGCTCGAACTTCCACTGTGGGTTCCTGGCAGGATCTCTGTTTTCGTACCTCTCCACGTCTTTAGGTCTTTTTGATGTGTGTCCATATTTTCTGAAATCACGATCCTCAGGATACCTGTGTTGACATAAAGCAGTTTATACTTGCACTAGAGAGAAGAAAGTGAGAATTTATATGTGTGGAATGTTGGGCAGCATGGCTTTAAATGCAGAAGGCAGTGGCAAGTTAACTATAATCCCTCAAGCCAACTCATAGAGGCACAAGGTAGCAAAAGAGGAAAATATCATCTTTTGTTAATATTCTAGCCATCAACAATGATCTACTCTATAAATAAATACTTCACTACTACCAGTAGACCATAATTACATTACAATGCTTTTTATCTTTTTAGACAAAAGCTTTTCAAGGTGGTTATCTTCAACCATAAAGTAAATAGACTTTTTCACTTGAAGCTTTATACCAAATTACCCAGGTTTAATGTTTTCCTATACCTCTTCTGAAAAGAGCTCCTTTTCTCAAAGTCTTCAGAGCCTCTTCTAAGTGACTGAGAATGGTTTTCATCTTGTATCCTCTGGTGCCTCAACTCATCTTCATACCACTTTCCTTCGAACCTAAAAGAATCTGCTATTGACCTCTGAGGTGGCTTCCCTCCTTTTCCACTTCCTCTAACTCTGTGGTCATCAGGAATATACCTTCCTTGTACTTTCTGGGGATAAAAATTCCTCTGGTTCTCTTTGTAAGGTACACCTTCTGAGTATTGGGGCATATAGTGCAATCCTCTGTTACCATCTCTTCTTCCTGGTAAGTATTCTCGGTAAGGCTTAAAAGTATAAACATTTTCTGAAGAGGTTCTTCTTATGTTTGGGGAAGGTGATCTATGTTCATAAGATCGGTAATGTATATTTCCACGAGAAGGAATCCTTGGTTTACTCTGTCCATGTTTCTCACTGTCCATTCGCCAAGTGGTGGGTCTCTTTGGATCCTTCCTATATTCACAGCCATAATGCCCATGAGAGTACCTTTGCTTGTAGTGTTCAGAATTTCTAGGTACTGGTGATAATGACCTATGTAAACAAATAGAAAAGTTCAGTACATTTAAAGACAATAAACTAAGTCTGTCTTAACGTGACCAACTTAAATAAAGCATTTGCTCTTCACTGCTTCTTCCACTCAAATTAAATTAATCAATTTGCTCTATCTGTATTCAAAATTGCCCATGTAGGTGTCTGATTACTGCTCTGACCAATTCAACAAGCATACTCTTTCCATCTGAACTAATGTACCCCACGTGCATATCAAAATGGGCTGAGCACAGCCATTCCGCTGCAGGAGGACCAGGTCAGGTGCACAAGAGCCATTTTGGAAGACTGCTGACAGCAAAAGTTTAGGCAAAAGAACCAGTCATCAAAAGCTTGTATCAGGTTCAATAGTCAGGGAAGAAACAAACAAAAGGAGGGCTAGATTCACACAAGTAAATGGGTAGGAGAGTCTCTGGCAAACAGAACAGAACCTCTGAAATTAAATTAGATCCTACGAGTTTATGACATCACAATAAACCCAAATGCAGACTCAAAACTGGCCCCATAGTTTCCCCAATTGATTGACTATTCTCTCTACTAAGGCTATATCAAAAAGCAAAAATAATACATACTTAGTGTGCAGAGTGGAGGGGAAAGAGGATATTAAGACTTGAATCTCATTCTTAGTTCCTCCATAAAAACTACTAACACAAACTGCTTTTCTTTCCCAGACCTGTTCCCTTACATGTGCTGTTCAAACAGACAGAGCTTATAACTTCGGAGAAAGTGGACTTTCACGCAGCTGTCATGCTCCCCAGGTACAGCACATCTTTTGTGTAACTACCTCCCCCAATACCTCAGCATTGCCAACATCGAGACTTCACTCCCACAGAGGAGGAAGGAGGCTCCTATACCCAGGGAAACAAGTCTGAGTTGCCTGGACATCAAAAGCAGAGAGAAAGCACCACTATGTGGGACACAATAAAGTTCAATTTTGCATCTGGGGACCTTTCCTCCCAACTAACCCATCCAATTTTCTAATCGCCTCCCTGAGGGCTTAATGTCTTCTAATCAATGAGGCAGCTACCCTTGCACCTTTTGTTACTGTCCACCTTCAGAAGCTGCATGGAGTTGGGAGTCAAACCCTTTCCACATGGTGACATGCCTGTGTCCTCCCTACAAGAAAGGAAGCAGATTTATCTTCCTCGCGTACATACTGGGATTTATATACTGGACTTGGCAATATCTCCCTCTGGAGTCACCAAGCTAGATGTACTTAGCAAATGCATTATTTAGCTGAAGAAGAAACTTCATCACCCAGCAGGCTTTACTTCATCACAGGAAGAAGGAGGCAGGCACTCTGAGGACTTTCTGGAAGACTGCATCTCTTCCATCACTAAGGAGAAAAGGTGGCAGCCAGAGACAGAGGTCCTCCAGACTGGATGAAATACTCAACCTCTCACTTTAATCCTTACCTCATAGTGAATATTGCTTTGTTATATTTCATCTCAGGGGTTTTATTCTATAAAGTCCTGTTCTTTTGAAGGAGATTGCTGGAATGGTAACTAACATTTTCAGTTCTCCTAAAGAAACAAAAGAGATCTGAGGAGTCTGTTGGGAGACAATTCTCCATGGGTCTCTTGCATCCTGCATGCTTGGTAAGCAGAGGCACTAACAGCTTTTGTTCCAAACACCACAGCCCGGGAAGATGGAGACGGGGCCTCCCTCAGGGAAAGAGGGCCAATTTGCTTGCTATTCAGGATATGTTTCCTCCCAGGCAAAGGCTGGGTGGGTTTGCTTGTAGCCCCTGATGAAGCTTGGGTTCCTTAGCTGTGTTGGCACTTCACTGCTTCACTCTGCAGTACCCACCGTCAGGAGACTGGGGAGAAAGGGAAACACGGGCATGTGAGGCCCAGGTTGCCTGCTGGACCGTGATTAATACAGGCCTTTGTCTCTGACCCAGCAGTGCCCGTGGCAGGCTGATGTGTCAGCTTGCAAGTAAGGTAAAATATCAGACCTTTTACAGTTTCTGACCAAGAGTTCTTAGAAGGAATCTAGAAATCAGGCACTAAGCTTGGCAGAGTCTTCTGTGCCCCTTCATCCAGCCTATCACAAAAGGGTGAAACAAAACAACCTCTTTGATGCCCTCCATGTTGAAATCATTCACTTGTTTATGTTCATGTTCCCTTTTTTTTCAGAAGCTCCTTCCCGTTACAATTTGGTCTTGTGAATTACAGAATGGAAACTGTTAAGTCATTATAGAACCATAATGAACAAGCACAATGGCCAAGTTGTATTAACATGAAAAGTTTTGGTCTGCTTTTTAAGTATGTAATTATGGTCCTTTTTTTAAAGTCCTAGAATATACTAGTCACTTTCCTAGCTTGGCGCCTTTGCTCCTGTTGCCCTCCTTAACTGGAATACTTTTCTTCTTTCTTTCCACCTTTAGAAATTCTACCCATCCTTATATGACCCAGGTAAAATTCCATCAAGACTTACTTAGTATCCCCTTTTCTTCCTCCATAAAAGCAGAATTGTTCCCTCTCCATGGACCCAGAATACTTTGTCCCAGTCAGTAGCACTGCACTTCTCCCCTAGTATCATAGCTGACTATGGTGCCAACCTCCAAGCCGACCTGCATGCCTGCTGAGGTCCCGGGAGATGTCATTTGCCTTTGAGGCCCCAAAACTGTAGCAGGTATATGATGAACACTGGTTGAACCGTTCCAATCTAATTATATGTATACTATTGATACTACCAACCAGGAAAGTTCAACTACACCTGAGTTATTCAAAACTCAAGTATTCTGCCATGAAGAAGAGGAAATAGGTAACTCCTGATTTTCCAACTCCCAGTTTTTTCAGAGATAATGATTATGAAAACAAAAAAACCACTGGAGAGTTCTAAACCATTTACTGATGCAAAAAATGTAACACTTGAAGATGTTTCTCACTTTCCCTTGAGGTAGCCGTTGCATTTCTTATTATGGATTAATTGAGCTGCCATCCATAATTGAAGAAAGCTGTCAACTTTTAGAACCTAGCAATACAACCTTTATCACTGTAAAGTACCTACTGTGAATAACCAGGTCCCATGAGCTTATTAAAATAGGTTCCTTACAGTACTACTGAACTTGAAAGTCAAAGCACATCTCAAACTCAAGCTAACTCTGCTAAACTAAGAACTGCTCACCTGTGTTTCCACCTGGGGGATCTAGAGCGTGACCGTGCCATCCTCTGACATGTGAGCCACTATTTACTTTTTACACTGCAAAGAAACACAGTATTAGCAAGTTTGTAGAAAGAGCCTGCAATCTGCTCTAAAAGCAGTGAATACCACCAAGAAAAAAGTTACTTAAGTTCTCTGTGCCTCAGTTTCCTCATCTGTAAAACAGGGATGATAATAATAGGACCCACTTTATTGGAATGTTGTGGAGATAAAATGAATTAAATTAGGAGTCAGCAAACTTGTCCTATAAAGGGCGAGATAGTAACTATTTTAGGCTTTGTGGGCCATATAAGGTCTTTACTGCATCTTCGTCTTCTTTTTTTTTAAATTTTTTTTAATGTTTATTTATTTTTGAGAGAGAGAGAGAGGACAAGCAGGGGAGGAACAGAGAGAGAAGAAGACACAGAATCTGAAGCAGGCTCCAGGCTCTGAGCTGTCGGCATGGAGCCCGATGTGGGGCTTGACCTCACGAACTGTGAGATCATGACCCGAGCCGAAGTCAGACGCTTAACTGACTGAGCCACCCAGGCACCCCTTCGTTTTCTTTTTAAAACAACTCTTGGGGCACCTGGGTGGTTCAGTTGGTTAAGCATCCGACTCTTGATTTCAGCTCAGGTCATGATCTCATGGTTGGGGTGTGAGATCGAGCCCTGAGTCATGCTCTGCACTGACAGCATGGAGCCTGCTTGGGATCCTCGCTCCCCTTCTTTGCTCCTCCCCCCTTCTCTCAGAATAAATAAACTTCAACAAAATAGATAACGAATACAACAACTCTTTAAAAATATAAAACCAGGGGCGCCTGGGTGGCGCAGTCGGTTAAGCATCCGACTTCAGCCAGGTCACGATCTCGCGGTCGGTGAGTTCGAGCCCCGCGTCAGGCTCTGGGCTGATGGCTCACAGCCTGGAGCCTGTTTCCGATTCTGTGTCTCCCTCTCTCTCTGCCCCTCCCCCGTTCATGCTCTGTCTCTCTCTGTCCCCAAAATAAATAAACGTTGAAAAAAAAATTAAAAGAAAAATAAATAAATAAAAATATAAAACCATTCTTAGCTCACGGGCCACAGAAAAAGAGGCCCCAAAGGTCAAATATACTGTAGTTTGATGATCCCTGAGTCAAGTCAAGTCATGAAAAGAACCTAGAATGGTGCCTGGCACACAGCAACTGCTAAATAAGTGTTCCAAAAGGAGGAAATACCCAGAATTGCTCCATCTGAATCACTACTACCTTCCTGTCTTTCACCATGTACATAAATACTTCATACAAGCACAGACAAAAGTTTAGGAATACTTGACGAGATATCCTGTTTTTAAACTGCTGGATAATAAGAATTAAAATACCTTATTATAGTACTAAAGTGCTGTCTAACTTCAACTAAATATACCAAAACTTAAGCATGATTAAACATTTAGTGTGTTGCTGATTCTTTGGTAAAACAATCAATGCATGGAAACTTGATTTTTAAAATATTAATGCTTTAAAAGAAGTTGATAGGGGCGCCTGGGTGGCGCAGTCAGTTGAGCATCCGACTTCAGCCAGGTCACGATCTCGCGGTCCGTGAGTTCGAGCCCCGCATCGGGCTCTGGGCTGATGGCTCAGAGCCTGGAGCCTGTTTCCGATTCTGTGTTTCCCTCTCTCTCTACCCCTCCCCCGTTCATGCTCTGTCTCTCTCTGTCCTAAAAATAAGTAAACGTTGAAAAAAAAATTAAAAAAAAAAAAAAGAAGTTGATAGCTTTAGGAACCAAATTTTTAAAATATGTGATTAGGACATAATCTTCTATAGTAGCTACTATTTGTATGTCAGTAATCTTTAGTTGTTTTTTTTTTTAATGTTTATTTATTTTTAAGAAAGAGAGAGATAGAGAGAACAGGGGAGAGGCAGAGAGGGAGGGAGACAAAGGATCCGAAGAAGGCTCTATACTGACAGTAGAGAGCCCAATGCGGGGCTCAAACTCATGAACCATGAGATGACCTGAGCCAAAGTCAGATGCTTAACTAACTGAGCCACCCATGTGCCCCCCTCCTTAGTTCTGATACTATAATTAAGTAGTTCCCACCTTATTGGCCCCAAACTACTGGCGGCTTTCAAAATTACTGCCATGGGTCCATGAATAATAATTGGAGCCACCATGCACAGGCTATGGAATGAATCAATGTATGTCTCATATATTATAACCTCTATTTTGCAAATTTCTGAAGACAGTATGGCAAATGTTAAAATATAAATGGCTTCTTGTATGTAGTTTTTCCATTGATTGATACAAAAAGTACAACTACTATTGTGTGGACACTTATTTAAAAAGGGGGTCCTCATAGTCATACATTTGCAAACTACTGCTATAATGAATTTCAGAAGAAAGTAAAAGCACATAAAGTTAAAGGACTTGAACCAGATCACTCATCAAAAGGACATTCAATTCTATTCATTTATTTATACACTGCCTCTTTCCAAAAAGAAATTGAGGCTAGTAAGAATAATTGGTTCACAGGTACTATGAAATTAAGACAGTAAAGGGGAAAATTATCTAATTAAAAGTATCAAAATGCATTCCTTCAACAAATATTACTGAGTGATTATTTGCCAGGCACTGTTCTGGGGATCCAGCAATGAACAGAAATAGAGAAAAATTCCTGTCTTCTGGAGCTTACATTCTACTGAGGGAGTTTATAACTTAACTAAGGAAGCTTTGGGTATCAGTTCGTATCTATGAAATGGAACAAAAATAAAAATCCCAGGGTTGGGCGGTGGGGGGGGGGGGTGGCTGACACCAAATATTGCTGGTGATGATGAAAAAGCATAATTTTTCTGGAAAGTAATCTGTTTTCCCATTTTATTTATTTTTTATTTTCACTGTTTTTAATGTTTATCTTGAGAGACAGAGAGAGAGAGAGAGAGAGCGAGCCCAGAGCAGGAGAGGGGCAGAGAGAGGAGAGAGAGAATCCCAGGTAGGTTTTGCACTGTCAGCCCAGAGCCTATTGTGGGGCTCAATCCCATGAACTGTGAGATCACGACCTAAGCCGAAATCAAGGGTTGGATGCTTAACCAACTGAGCCACCCAGGCGCACCCTATTTTTAATTTTTTGAAGTAAGTTCTATAGGCAATGTGGGGCTTGAACTCATGACCCTGAGATCGAGAGTTGCATGCTCTTCTGACTGAAACAGACAGGTGCCCCTCCATTTTATTTTTCTGAAAAAAAAAAAAAAAAAAAAAAGATTTTTTTTGAGATACAATTTGCATACCATACATTCACTCATTTAAAGTGTAAAATTTAATATTTTTTAGTATTTTCACAGAAATACAGAACACCGCAATCTATTTTTAGAACATTTCATTCCTTCTGAAAGAAACCCCATTAGCAGTTGCTTCCCATTCCTTTCCTCCTTTGATTAGCCCCTGACAACTATTAATCTCCTTTCTGTTTCTATGGATTTGCCTATTTTGGACTTTTCATATAAATGGACTCATACAATATGTGCTTTTTTTGTGATTGGCTTCTTTGCCTTAGCATAACATTTTCAAGGGTCATCCCTGTTTTACCATGTATCAGTACTTCATTTTTGTTACAGTTGCATAACGTACCACCTTTTATTTATTTATTCCTCTCCCAGTGGACATTTGAGTTATTTCTATAGTTTTGGTTACTATGAATAATGCTGCTATAATAATGCTATCTGTGTATCAGTTTTTATGGAGACATGTTTCCATGTCTCTTGAGTATAAACCTAGGCATGAAATTGTTGGGTCATATAAGAACTCTATGTTTAACTTTTATTTTATCTTTTAAAATTTATTTTGAGAGAGAGAGAGTGCACGTGAGTGAGAGAGGGGCAGAGAGAGAGGAGGAGAGAGAATCCCAAGCAGGCTCCACACTGTGAACACAGAGCCCAATGTGGGGCTCGAACTCATGAACTGTGAAATCATGACCTGAGCCAAAACCAAGAGTCAGACACTTAACCAACTGAGCCACCCAGGTGCCCCATGCCCACTTTCTTTTAATCTAATAATTTCAATTTAAACTTAATATTTTAAGACAATAATTTAAAAGGGAAAAAAAACAACTAAATATACTAACACGTTTATATCACCATTTATAATAGGAAAGGAAAAACACCCATCCAAACTAATTATAACCCACATGCCCAGGAATTAATAAAAGATTAAACAAACTTAAAACATAAATATCTAGTCGTTTCCTACCCTTTCCACAGCCTTATGTATGTCTTTTCCTCCACATATTCTATTAGCCCACCACACCACACTATTTGCTTTTCCCTGATAAGGCCATGTTCCCCATACCACACAGATGGTCTTCCTTCACTCCACTTGACAAATCTTCTTTCAGGACTGTTTGACCAGCATCTCCCCTGGGATTCTTTCCTTGACTTTGTTATTTTCCCCCTGAGTTTCCTTCTTGGAAATTCCGGGTTTATTCTGTGATGATTTCAATACATTGTGATTATTTGTTTGCATAACTATATTTATTTTCATAGGCAAAAAACTCCTAGCAACATATCATAGAACACAAAACTCAAATTACCTATGGACATAATGATATCAACCTCATTAGTAACTGAGTAAACACAAATTAAGATCATAACCATTCCACACCCACACAAAAAAATTAAAGTTGCACATTCTGGAGTGTTGGTGAGGATGTAGAACAATAAGGACTCTCATATACTGCTAGGGAGTATACATGAGCATTAACCAATTTGGAAGGAGGTGACAGTACCCATTTAAAGTTGAACATGCTCATATGCCATAACCCAGCAATTCCACTCAGCAACAGAATTTAGAGTAGCAGCTCTCAAACTTCAGTGTGCATCAGAATCACTTGAAGGGCTGGTTAAAACACAGATTGCCGGGCCCTACCCCAAGGGTGAGCCTTACTTCTAGCAAGTTCCCAAGTGATATGGATGCTGTTGGTCCAAGGAATACAGAACTAATGGCTTAAAGAAAAAGGTGGGGGTCCCTTGGGAGAAAATAAGATTTAGTAATTCTGTGGGGCTCAAAAAAAAAAGTATTACTTAGAATATTTTCCT